TGGCCTTGTAGGCCCCTTCCAACTTCACTTTTCTATGATTCTGAACCTGGTTTGTGTTTACTTTGACGCTGATGTCAATCACTGAGTGACTGTTAAGTATCAAAGGTAACTGAGGATACAGTTTAAAAAGAATGTAACCTTTAATCATGCACCGCCAAATCAATTCTGACTTATGGTGACCCCCTTTTTTAGGGTTTTCCAGGTAGAGAACACTCAGAGGTACTTTACCATTCTCTTCTTCTGGGGCTGCTCTTGGACTGTACAGCTTGCCCATGACCACACATGCTGGCTCTAGGAGACACAATGGGGAATTGAACTCCCAACCGCTGTCTTTGCAGCCAGGTACCTAAACTTCTGAGCTATCCAGCCAGTTCACAAAGAAATCTTTACAAGCTTTCAAATCCTAGAGCTCTGTGTCACACTAATAACAATTATGTGACATCGTCAATTTTGACTTACGTAATTATAACGTAATTTCTATGCATGGATCATGTGAATACTCCCCCCCTTGTATGTATAATTATATGTAGAACTCTGAATGTTATTTTTGACAATCGTAATCATAAAATAATTTCTATGGATGGATCATGTGAATACTTCCCTCCCCTTGTATGTATAATTATGTGTAGAACTCTGAATGTTATTTTTGACAATTGGTTGCATACGTTTCATTTAATTTATTCTGGTGTCTATTTTGTTAGTGAGAAGATAAAATATTGTCATCCATGGCTGCATCAGGAAGAGTGGCTACCTTCCGTTTGCCACCTCTCCCAACAATAGGAGAGATTATTAAGCTGTTCAACCTCAGAGCTCAAAGGCAGCTGTCCCAGAATTTTCTTCTGGATCTGAGACTTACAGGTTAGTTGCCTATTTGTTGCTATTTGTTAACATTTACTCACAAATTTCCTTAAAATGCTTTCTGTGATTATGCAGCTCACACTAGTGTAGAATTATTCCATTTAGTTATTGTTTGCTAATAAATTGCAGGCACAAAATGAAATAATATAACAGTGAACATGTTAGCAAAAGGTGAACCCACTTATTTGGACACATGAGAAACATTTCTTTAGATCACACAGTTCACTTGAATCACACTTTCAACTGGAATACATGCTATACCAGCAACATAGGATGTCAAAGGTAAGCAGCAGTAGTATACAATTTCATTTAGCATACCCCAGTTTAAAAAAAATACTTTGTTGCTTTTAAGTTCTATAAATAAAATAAATCAGTTCCAAAGGTTCCAATACAGCAGGGGCACAAATTCCTGCTTCTTATTTCTCATGTAGGGTCCATGACATAAAGCAGCCACCCATGGGAGTAACACAAATGGTTTCTCAAATCAGTTTTCTATGTCAGTCAACATAATTTAATGTAACCAGAAGAAAAAGAGCTATGAGAAGCAATAATTTGATTCTGTACAAAGTAGATTGATCTGTTTGTGCTACTTCATATTACCTTATTTCATTCATTTAATGACTTATTGTTGACCACCAGTGGTTACTGATACTGGCAGTGCCTCTCATGCTCAAGCAGAGCTCCTTCTTAGCCTTGATACCTGAGATAACTTTTAAAGATTATTGATTAAAATTTGGGCTAGAGCTTGGGAACTGACTTCTAAGAAGTAACACAGTTCTCATTCCAAGAGTAACAGGCACGTACCATATTTAATTACTGTTACAACTTCAGATACTAACCTTTTACTTTTCTGTGCCTCAGAAGTACCTAAACTTGCTGTTATTTTCAGTTACTTTATTTTTAAAGAATTGGAATGCTACAAGCTGTAGTGAAAAGTAGTCTAAAACATTATTGAATACACAGAAATAGGCTATGAATAACAGATAATACCCATAGGATAGTACCCAAGGACAAAGCACTTAAATATGTTTTAAAACTTGAAAAACTGCACTTGAAATGCTGCTTTTAACATAGTCCTATTCTGCTCCTTAAGAACAGTGGTAGAAATTGCTTGTTGAATAAAATGTACAGAACTATCAGGAAGATCCTAGGAGGATTTTTAAAATCCTGAGTATTTCAGTCAAAAGTGCATTATTATGTAGAAGAGACATGTGAAACAGGCCCAAAACAATCTTGCATGTCTGCTGTATTCAGCAAAAACTGTGAAAAGTGGTATCGTGCAGCAATTCTGGTTACGTGTGTCCACTCAGAAACAGAAAAGACTTTGTTGCTCAGGCATAAACATAAATTCTGCACATGTCCAAAATTCACCCACTGATATGTAGTAATGTGTAGCAGCGGTAAGAACAGTTATAATAGTGGTTATCCATACAGCTCCACAACCATTACCCACTTTTTTTGCAGAAACATATTCATTCCATCTGCCACTGATATGTAGTAATGTGTAGCAGTGGTAAGAACAGTTATAATAGTGGTGATCCATACAGCTCCACAACCATCACCCACTTTTTTTTGCAGAAACATATTCATTCCATCTTTACATTCATATAAGAAATGTAAGGTTGTGGTGCATCTAACACCTTGCATGTAGTAGCAGTAATAACAATAACATCCACACAGCGGTGCAGGTACAGTCCTTTGCACATGTTTCTGTTCTTGCTCTGCACGCACAAGAGGAAAGTTCCACTGGCTCTGTGCATTATTAGTTGTCCTGCTCCACCAACCACAGTAACTACTACCTGCTTACCTCTAACCCTGTTCAGGTGTTGAGAAAGTTAGATTAGATTAGATTAGGCATCTTTCAGTCTCGAGAGACTATGGTAACATGCTCTGTATGGAGGACTTGGACCAGCATCTAGTGTGGCTGAGAAGGCCAATTCGCGAGTGCCAGTCCCTTCCACACTGAAGACAAATACAATCTGCCCCCTGTCCGGCTCCCTGATTCTGCTGCTTTTGTGACTTCCTCTTTGCCTCTGCCTGCTGTACAAGGGTCTCTTCAAATTGGGAGAGGCCTTGATGCACCGCCTGCCTCCAGGCTGAACATTCAGATGTCAAGGTTTCCCATCCATTGAGGTCCATTCCTAAGGCCTTCAGATCCCACTTCAAATATCCTTGTATCGCAGCTGTGGTCTCCCTCTGGGGCGATTTCCCTGCATTAATTCTCCATACAGAAGATCTTTTGAAATCTGACCATCAGCCATTCTTACAACATGCCCAAGCCAACGTATACATTGCCGTTTCATTAATATATACATGCTAAAAGTTCCAGTTAACCGGCTCATTCTTGTTGTTGTTGCTCTCAATCTAGAGAGATTAAAGAGCTTTCCGTCTGCTCTAGTCCGGAGATAGACACCTTCTGTTTCAGTTCCAAGGGGGGCTTCAGTATGACAGCAAAAAAGATCCCAAACAGGGTTGGCGCGAGGACACAGCCCTGTTTCACTCTGCTTTGGATGTCAAAGAGATCTGATGGTGAGCCATCAAAAACTACAGTGCCCTTCATTTATTCATGAAAGAACCTGATGATGTTAAGGAGATGAGGTGGACATCCAATCTTGGGAAGAATTTTAAAAAGGCCATCCCAGCTAACCAAATCAAAGGCCTTTGTGAGATCTATGAAGGCCACAAAGAGTGGCTGTTGTTGTTCCCTACATTTCTCCTGCAACTGTCTGAGGGAGAATACCATGTCAGTGGTGGATCTATTAGCTTGAAATTCACACTGATTCTGGATAGACTGTATGCAAGCACCTGGAGCCTCTTCAGCACAATAAAGGCAAGTATAAGACGAACCTCAATTTTTAGTCTAAAGATTTTAGACAAACGTATAGTCTTATATATGGAAAAAATACGGTATTTATGGTTTTTTCTTTTAATATTTTCAAACCACAGAAAAGTGAAACTACGGATTCTGATCCTACTATAATGGTTATATCTTTGTTACTGGAATAAAGCATGTTAATGGAAAGTAGCTTGCTCTTGGTGAGCAGTTATTTCCCAGCTTAGGGAGTATTGGCATTTTCCTTATAGAAGAAGAGCATATCCAAGATAATAAAGTACAAGGGGAAGCTTATGTGCTGTAATATCTGGAATCTAGCTAGCATGTAGCAGTACAATGCCTTCAGTTTGCATGAAATGTACACTGATGTAATTGGTGTCATGCAGCTGTGATGCAGAGAAGCTGGGAGGAAGAAAGGGAACTCAGCCAGCCACTGGTTCAGTTTTACTTCAGACGCAAGGGACAACAGCATTGACAGCTGCCCGTTTCTGGGCTCTCATGCCTTTTGTTGTGGTCTTTTTCTTGTTCTTAAGTGTCTGCTTTGATTGGCTACTTCTGTTTTGAAGGAAAAGAAGTTTGTGGCCCAAGTCCTTGATGTACCTTTGGTCTGGGTAGAGCTCTGTGCCTGTTCCCTGCTGAAAGTCCTTACCCACTCCTGATCAAATGTTTTTAGAGCAGATTCTATTGCTGTAGGCAAATAACAGCCAAAGAGTGCTCCCCCCCCAAGAAAAAACACTTTTTAGCTCATATTTGTAGATTAGGAACAGTTTCCAGACTGGGAATGCCTGTCTACCTTTTTCCAAAGGAAGAATGGCTAGCTTAAGCATGCTTTTTAAAATGCATGTTATTCAAGTGCTCTTGATCTTTACAGATAACTGACATTGTGATGTGCATATTTATAATTCAGAAGTAATCGGCTTCACAGATTCCAAAGACTGTTACCCACCATGTAAATATTGCACATATAACATAAATTATGGCCCATCTTATCATTTGCATGTGTTTTGATACCTAAACTGCTATTCTTTTTGCCCTTATTTTCTTTGAATTATATTTCACATGGTATTTCTTATTTCTTGGCTGTTCAGCAGGGTGGATAAAAGTCAATGATTTTTTTAAAATAAAATTGATTTGAATCACAATTTAACTTTTTAAAAAACCTATTTTTATTTAAATAATAAAAAACCTAATTGTTTTTATTTAAATCAAAACTCCAATACTCTTCAGTATGAAAAAGTCACCTTACCACTTTATAATTCTTTATTTTCACCTTCATGTTCTTCTTTCTGAATGTGAATTTTTATATTTGCCCGTAATCAGTATTTCAACTTTTATTCTTATATAATAGTTGAATGTCCTGGCAACCCATTTACTTTTGTCTGACATTCATTGCAATGGAAAAGATAATGTTAATAAGGGGGATTTTTTTCCTAAGAATAAATTTAAGGTTTATGTTTTTTAGACATCCCCCCCCTCCTGTAGCCTTTGAAATAATTTTATCTCTTGTCTATCGGTTACTTTGCTACATCATTTTATAGTTGAAGTTCTCTGAAGGATGTAGCTATTCTAACAGATTTTTTTTTAAAGAGTTCATAAAGTAAATTCTACAGTTTATTTCACTTTATGGTACAGTTCGGGGTGTTTGTTTCAAATGTAAATAATGTGTTAGTTCTGCTTCTCATGTGCTACAGTCCTGTGCGTGTCAGCTCCGAAGCTTGCCCCAAATCGGTGAGACTTGCCTCTAGATTGCAGACTTTAGAAGGTCTGGGCTTTGATGGAGGAGAGCAGCGTTAGTTTGTTTTGTTGTTGTTTTCGCAGATAAGATTGCGAGACAAGCCGGGAAACTGAAAGGTGCCTATGTTTGTGAGGTCGGCCCTGGGCCAGGAGGAATCACAAGAAGCATTTTGAACGCTGGTGTGGCAGAACTCCTGCTAGTCGAGAAAGATCCTCGTTTTATTCCTGGGCTCGAGGTATCAATTACAATCTGAAGACTTCCGCCCAATTAAAGTTTTACAAGTTAAATAGACTTGTACCTTGTTTATGCATGTATCATGACAAATGCACTTCAGATCCTCTGATAGCCTAGTCCTAATCCTGTTTATTCAGAAGTTAGTTCCATTAGCTTCAGACCCTCATAAGGGGCTGTAGATGGTTATCCCTTGCTGTTCTGTCTTTCCTTTGAGCTGTGTGGATAGCCGCTGGATTAATGCCAGGATTATGTCTCAGTAGCACACAAGGAAATGGTGTATTTGAAAGAGATTCTTCAGTTACATCTAGCTGGTATTTTTCTGAAGTGTGTTCCTGTGTGCACGTAAGCTGGTATTAATTAATTTACTACTATTTAATAAGCATTTCTTGATATCCTTTCTGCTCACTTGGGCTTCTAAAGTCATGTGCAATAATATATAAGAAATGAGATTCTTTTAAAAAGAGGTTACATGTTTTAAAAGTGAATTTAAAAAACTAAATGCCATACAGAATAATATAGTCTTGGACACGTGTTGAAAGCTCAATAAACATGAAGCCAGCGTATCTGCTGATATTGGATTATGATGTTGGTAAACACTGCAGATATTTTCTGGTCCATCTCTAGACACTGCCAACTACTAGAACAATCAAGAGCTTGTATAATTACACTTGACCATAATTACACAGCAAAATAAAGCACTGTTTTATTATTTGAATTTTAATATTGGCAAAAACCCTGGGCATATGAGCAGTTCTACTGTGATAATTAGAAGGAATGAGTCACTCCTCTTTATCAGCAGTGGGCTTTTATAACAGCAGTAAAAACAATTTTACTAAACTTTCAGTATTTTGGAGAGATTGTCATTAATTATTACTGAATATGAATAAGTGGTCTTTAGGTGTGTGTGTTTTTAGCAGATTTTGGAGGTTTTTCATGATACAATTGATAGCAGTGGTCACCAATGCCCAGTGGTCCACTGCCAGTCTGTGGCCTTTGCTGGACCGGGCTGTGGAGACAGATCTCTCCCCCCCCCACATGCACACACGGGTGCCTTGCCCACCCACACAGGAGTGTGAGCGCCCCCACAAGTGTGCCATGGCCATCTGTGCATGCGTGCAAGCGCTCCATGCTCACTCTTGCATGCATGCGAGTGCACCCTTCATCCGCGAGCACACCACGCTCATGCAGTATTTCTCCAAAGCATTTTCCAACTTTACAGAAAAAGGGAGGCAGGGTTCTACAATCAGAAAGGTGGGGTCACTAAAAAAGAATGCCACAAGTAAGGGGACACCAGTTGGATAGAAGCACACTTGCTGCTCACTTCAGACTTCAAAATGGGAGAAACCTGTCTACATTTTAAGTCTTCACATTTTCTGTAGGAAGTGGAGATTGATTGTCAACAAAGAGACTTCCAGTTATTTTCATTGTGCATACCTCATATTTGTGAGAAGTTAATATTTGTTTTCGTTTCATGGCATATTCAAGCCATAAACATAATTTCCGTAGCATAACGCATTTTGAATATAAAGATTCTTTTGTTACGAATGATTGCAAAAGCATATTGTTCAAAAGAATTAACTAAATATATCCTCTGTTTCTCCCCTTCTCTTTGAAAAAACTCAGTTGCTTTCTGAAGCTGCTCCAGGAAGAGTTCGTATTGTTCTTGGAGATATTTTGGCATATAAATTGGACCAAGCATTTCCAGATCATCTTGTAAAGAACTGGGAAGATGGTGAGTATTTTAGAAGTACAGTTATTTATAACACTGTAGGAATTTGCTGCATAATACTGCTAGCTGCTTGTCGACAGAATTTAATACAAAACAGTTTCTACATCTCAGAGTATCTGTCTGATTGTCATATACTTGCATGGGTCTGTTTCTTGAATACAGTTGCTTTGCTTACTTTGCATTCATTTGGTTTTTCAGTTTTAGAACTCACCATGTTCCCTCCCTTCAAATTAGTGTTGGTGTTTCTGCCATCAATTAAAGACCTAATTGTTCACCAAAATAATTTCCAGATTACTTTCCTGATTAAATAAGATTGTTTGAGAAACAGATGATATGTCTCTTTCTCACAACACACTGAAATAATACCTGAGCTTTTGGAGGCATAAGAATTAAATAATTCAAAAAGAATGTTGATGTCATACTCTTTTCTCTTTCCCATTCTATGTAATTAAGGTAAAATGATGCACACTCTTTACTACACAGGGCTGTAACTATGTATTTTAAGTTACTTTAGCTTAAAAACATACTGAACTTTATTTTTATGCAGTCCTCTTTGAAATGAAGTTTAATATACATGAACCCTTTAAACATGTTTGTATTCATTTAAAAAACACAAGGGGACATACAAAACTTTACAGGCCTGTTGACCACATATATGCCATAATGAGTGTAGCAGTTTGAAATCAGTTTTCTTTGTCTCTCTGAGTCATTTTGATGATATTATTCAAGTGAATATTAATTTTGTTTTCTTGATGGCTAGTGTACCTATATGAAATATACAGTGCTGGAGTAGATTATATGTGCCTTGCATATTCTGTAGTAGAAATGTGTGTTGCATGCTTGCATGAACACTTGAGTATTCATGCAGAGCTACTTTTTAGAAAGAATTTCTCTTCCTTTTCATATAGATCCTCCAGACATACATATTATTGGAAATCTGCCTTTCAGTGTTTCAATCCCTCTGATAATCAAGTGGCTTGAGAATGTATCCAAAAGAGATGGGCCTTTTCGATATGGTAGAACACAGATGACTTTGACATTTCAGAAGGAAATAGGAGAGGTATGTTTCTTGTTGCTTAAGCCATAAAAGACTTTAAAATTTGAATGAAAAACCTTGAATCAGGTCCTGCTCGCCATTAATTTAATTAATTGTGTGCTATCAACTTCTAATTTATGATCCTTGCAACTAAATGCCAAATAGGAGCTTAAGCAACCCTGTTTAGTCCAGTTCCTTCTGATATTGTGAAATGGTTTAATATGTGAGCCACTTCAGGATATTGGAAAATTGAACACTTTCTGTGCTCCGCAGCGAAGAAGCAGGAGGAGTGCTTTGTTTTTGTTTTTTTAAGAATTTGCCAAGGTGCTGCATCAGTTTAAAAAAACTGAAAATTTACACACCTCTCCCTTCAACAGTGCTGGGGTATTAGGGTTCATGGACCCATGTAATTCAAAATCCATGGATAACTCTTACACCCCTAAAACATAACTACAAACCATTAATGGTGTTTGTTCTCTCTGTCTGTCTTGTGTGTGTGTGTGTATTAATCAACAGTTTATGCTTTGTACTAATGATTTTGAGGGCATAAGAGTTTTACACAGATTTTGAACTACTCCACAGAAAGAGAGTGAGAATTCTTTCTATCAGGGTTCCCTTCCATAGGTGTTGACAATCCTTTCCATGCAGTAACAGATGTAGTGAGCTTAAAGGTTCTTATGACCCCCAGATCAAAAGGATGAATTAAATATATTGTGTTTGGGAGCAAGACCATTTTGACACCTTCAAGTGTTGAACACATGGGGTCCTGGCCAGCCAGGGGCACAGTATTTATTGAATAAAATCTGTGAATAACCAAAATCGTGCTGTTCGGACACGTAAAGTTCAATGGAGAAGTGATTTATCCTTTGATTTATCTGAAGGGCCAATTGAGAAACTGCAGTTTCTTGATCACTCCTTTAACAGAAACCAACGAATTGCTTTTTCCTGCCAAGTATCATGTAACTGTAGTTGTGTATTCTGAGAAAATGATCATAGTTTAATTCCTCTACATATTAAAACGCTGCATAGAGTTGTCTGCTGGTGTGATCATGAATGGGCCCATTTTCATTGTCCAAACAAAAGAGTGTTACTTTGTGATATTTTTTAAAAAGTCTACTTTCCTCGTTCTTTGCATTGGAGAACATTAGAAAAAATCAAGAGGAAGAATTGTATGAAACTAATATTTGATCCTTAGCCTATTTACTTATTTATTTATACACGTTTATACTACACCATCTGGCCAAAGGCCTCACTGGGTGGTGTGCAGAAGAGAGCAAAAACACAATCAGTAATCATAAAACACCAGCATAATAAAATAATACACCAACATAAAATAAAATGAATAGCAAAACAAAGTAAATCAAAATATAACTACAATAAGTTAATAAGTGAATAAAATTCAAAATTAACAAACATTAAAAACAGGCAACAGATGTTAACAGATGTTAGTGAGCCTCGTGGTGCAGTGGTTAAAACGCTGTACTGCAGCTAAAACTGTGCTCACGACCTGGGGTTCAAATCCCAGGTAGCCGGCTCAAGGTTGACTCAGCCTTCCATCCTTCCGAGGTCGGTAAAATGAGTACCCAGCTTGCTGGGGGGGGGGGCAATGTGTAGCCTGTATAATTAAATTGTAAACCGCTCGGAGAGGGCTTGTAGCGCTATGGGGCGGTATATAAGTCCAATAAATAAGTAAGTAAGTAAGTAAGTAAGTAAGTATACTGAGTGGCTACTAAGATGGACTATTTTGAAAAGCCTAACCGATTAAGTCTTGAGTAGTGCAGATTTAACTGGCTGGGACAGCACAGTGGTTTAGGTATCTGGCTGCAGAGCTAGAGGTTGGGAGTTCAATTCCCCACGGTGCTTCCTATGAGTAGAGCCAGCCTGTGGGGCCTTGGGCAAGTTGTACAGTCCCAGGACGCCCCCAGAAGAAGGGAAGGGTAAACCACTTCTGAGTACTCTCTACGTGGAAAACCCAGGAAAGGGTTGGCATAGATCAGAATTCACTTGACAGAACATGACTATTAATAGTGCAGACGTGAGTCTAGCATCAGTCTTTCATACTCTAACCAAGTTGAAAGCGTCAATAGAACCATCCTTTCCAGATGCAGGTAATCTAAAGGCAAACCAGGCCTTTTATCAGCTCTCTCCATCCTTGTGGTTCCTTAATTAAAAGCCTTAGTTCAGATTGTTCAAATAATTGATAGTTTGAGCTGCTGGTCTGCGCTTAGTGATAGTGCTAATGAATCAGGCTTTTACAGCTGAAACCACTATGTTGGTGAGTAGAATGGAATATAAACAGTTTGTGACAAATGCTCACAAAGAGTCGGACACGACTTAACGAAACAGAAATGCTCACAAAGAGTCGGGCATGACTTAACGACTAAACAACAACAAGAGAGATGCAGTACAGGCTAGTGCCAGCTGTATATGTTGCTAAGTTTTTTTCTTCTCATATGTGATGAATGCAGTACAGGCTTCATATAGCTAGTGCCAGCGGTATATGCTGCTAAGTTTTTTTCTTCTCATATGTGATGTGTTGATTATAGTCTTGCTACACAAAGCTTAAATGAGATTTAAAATAGCACGAGCAATAAGTTTCTTTTAGTAAGGTGACAAAACCAGAAGCTACAGGAAGTGTAGTAACACAATCACAGTTATAGAATGACCTTTTATCAAGGAAGGCACTATATGAATATTTACAGATATGTATGCAAGGACAAATAAAGTCATTCTAAATTTAAAAAGGTAGGGAATAAAACAAGTCACAGCTCTTGTTCTGTTCTTAACATGAAATAACTTTGCAACTGATGTAGTAACAGAGGGAATTATGTATGATAAACAGTATTACACACAAACTTATTTAGGTTTGGAGCTGGAAAATAAGGCTGATCATATTTGTTATTTCTCATCCCTTTATTTTACTGCTTACAAGTCAGTACTGTATCTTTGGGGGTACAAACTTGTATTGTAAGCAGTAAAATTTGGGGGTACAAACCCTGTTTGAGAACTGCAAATTTTCTGGTGGTATCTTCCAGAGTTAATGTACTTGGGATGCTCTGTACTTGGGAAGATTAAATAATCTATATGGATTATAACCTATGGAACTACATAACATTAAACCCCCAAATCAAGAACTTTTCCATAATGAAATCATTGAACTGTAAGACATTTAGCAGCTGAGGAGGCAGGGCAGGGGAGCCAGGGTGTTGCCTCAGAGTGGGTGGGAACTGCCGAATGCATGTTTGTCCGAAAGACAAACTGGCATGAACTGCCACCTCTAATCTTGGGTACTGTGTTTTTAACACGTAGTTTAAAATATTTTTGAACATGTTTTTAGATAATTATTTCCATACCATTCTATGTTTCATTGTTTGTAGTATAATACTTTATTGTGCTTTTAACTTTACTTGTATTTAATTATTTTGAGTCCCTGAATGGGAGAAAAATGGCATAGAAATTCTATCTGTCTGTCTATAATTCAGTTAATGAATTATCTCATAACAACAACCATCTCAGACCATTCTGTTTCTTCTGCAGAGACTGGTAGCTAGTACGGGAGCCAAGCAGCGAAGCAGGCTTTCCATTTTGTCTCAGTACCTGTGTACAGTTCAGAACCGTTTCACAATTCCAGGAAGAGCTTTTGTTCCAAAGCCAGAGGTGAGCTTGTTCTTTCTTTCCATGTTCAGAATAAGGTGTTCACATCATCCAGGTATTTGCAGAGCCATCAACATGGAAAAAGCAAGTTGAATCTACACAGAGGCATGGGTATTTTAGGGGCTTCAGTGAATATATCACCAGTGTAATTGCTTAAAATAATTATCTGTTGGCAGAACTTAAAATTGTTTTCATTTTGTAAAAAGCCCAGTCAGCAGCCTTATCCCAAGTTTTTTTTTTAATGCTTGCTAGGGGAGTTTGCATGAAATGGCATATAGTTGTGTGGATTTAGGTACAAAGGAATCTGAAGAAAATAAATTCAGTAAGAAAATGATATTAATTGCTGAAGAACACAAAAATAATGGAGTCCTAATAAAGGTCATACACCTTAAAACAGAAAAAAACTAAGCGGCAGATTATACATTTCTAGAAGAAATTGAATAGCATGAAAAATATTCAGTTAAAATGATTTTCTGTAACCATGAATATCTGTATTGATTATCATGGTGAAGAATGGCTCAGAAATTATTTGTGATGTAGCAGACTACTGTTTTCTGTTGTAAATCTTATGTGTCATATCATAAGACAAGATTTGACTCCACTGGTGTTATATCTCCTGGCCAGTCATGAGTTTTTTGAATCAGCCACATTCTGCAACGTTTGCTGTCCTGGTTTGGGATGATGGAAAATATAATCCAGGAAATGTGGAGGGCACTGACTTGGAGAAGGCAGGATGAAAGCAGGATAATTTTTATATAAAATTGATCACCAATCATACACAGAAATAGTAGCTGAAATATATAATTTAGATTTGAACTGCTTATGTGATTTGTGGCTCGGTTTTGTAAATACTATATAATTTGTAGTTTGTTTTTGTGAATACAGTATTATCTAATGTGTTATGTTCTATAATGCGTGTGGTTTACATCTATTCCTCATTTCTTTTTGAATATTTATTTAGGTCATTTTGAGTGTAAATATTGTGCAGCCTCTCTTTGTTCTGTTACATGTGCTGTGTGAGCAAATTGTCCAAAGCAAAATGACTTATGTCGCAGAATTCCCATAATATTAGTTTTGATCAGAAATGACACTTTGAAAACAAGGATTTACTGGCTTTTTGTCAGTGAAATAAATGTCCAGGGTCCAGAGAAAGAATGTAAGCCAAAAGTTGCCTTTGCCCATGGGTTAGTACCCAGTTACCTTCAGAATGGGTTCTGGGGGCAGTTTTGTAGACATGATAAATACCAGTCTAATTAATGTAAACATGAAGTTCATGCTTTTACATCATCAGAGGGTAAACAAATCTACTGTGTTGTTGGCTGAGTCAGTTTCAACTCAACTGCTGGGTATTCTGGTGCTAGCTTGAAAAACTATCCTGAATAGTATTGGAGACAAGCAATTTTTGTTGAGGTAGACAGCTAATGACAAGGTAACTGGCTGTATTCTTAGTAATCTAGAAGTGCTGGGTGGGGACTATCAAACAGCAACATCTTTTCCCCACTTATTGTTGTTAATGATGTTGACGTGTGCCAGCAGGTCATTTCCACATTGTAGCGACTTAATATTGTTTTTTGATTTATGTGAAATATTCAAGGAGTAGTTCACCATTGGCCACCCACCCAGTGAGTTTCCCTGGCTGAGTGGTGATTTGAATCTAAATCTCCTGAGTCCTACTCTGATACTCTGTTTGCTATATCACACTGCTTCTTATCTTCCTTGCTTACTGCCACGAAATCGATTATGAATTTAGTGTATGTTGGGGGTTTTGTTTTTTGTTTTTGTTTTGTTTGTTTTTTACACGCTATCCTGCATGAAGAAAGGGTTGGTCATAGAACTGCGGTAATTTTGTCCTTCTCAGGCTTTATAGAACAGAAGGTTGCAGGTATTATTAAATCTCAGGCTGTTCTGTGTTATCAGTTTGTGAACCAAGATTAATTCTCTAAAGCTGGTAAGACATTGTTCAGCATTGTACAGTTTTTCTTGGTATGAAGGAAGCTAGTACATTAAATTGTCTTCTGTGGCCTTCCCTGTCTCAGTATTTATGAATTAGCTAGAGACACATTGGATCTATAATTATTACAAAGAAATATTAAGACATTCTTTGAACTGTCTGTACTCTTCACTATTACTATTAATCAGTCATCTTAGAATGTCTTCTGAATAAGAGATTTGGGGATCAAAGTGCTTTGTGATAATCATGCTTCCTCATAAGCTGGTCCTGCATTAGATCATAGTGCCACTTTTGTCTGTAGAGGAGAAAAAAAGAGAGAATGAACTAAGCCTTAGTATTGTCTTGGCTTACTGATTCATGTGCTGCCATTGTTTTACACCAGTGTTTACTTGTTTCAGCAGCACACCATTTTATTATTTTCTTGATCTGTTTTATCTTGGAGTGTTATGATAAGGGTGGAGACATACTGTGTTGGATTTCCCTATATTTATATCTGGCACTATCTTCTCCATCTCTGTCGGTTCTACTTTTGTACTGGATATGTCCTTGTGTGTGTTAACACAGCAGTATATGCCTGCAGGGAGAGGGTTCATTGTTGTTAACAGCCATTCTCCTTTCCTGTCTTTCTCCATGTGATATTTCTTCTGCTCTGACATGGCTTCGTTGGCAGAAATTGTTGGGTGTCTTCTTTCTATATTTTAACGTTTTCAGGGATATTTGCTCCTTTAAAAAAATTCCTAATGCCTTGGAAATGGTTGTCTTACGTATTCAGTCTTAAAGTTAAGTTAATCTTTAAGTTCTTCAGATATTTGAAATTAACTTAATATTTCCACAAACAAGATTCAATGTGTTTAGTCAGGCTCCTAACATATGTTAAGTCTGCTAAGATGTTGGTTGTGGATTTCATACTCTCCTGACATGCAGTTTTTGATTCCGTCTAATGAGAGTTTGAGATATTCATGATCTGTACAGAATAAGATACACTGCTTTCTCTCTAGAATTAACCCACTGAAATAACTGAAACTGCTTTAGGAGTGTCAACATACAGCTTCAGTACATCCTCTAGGGACTTACAGCAGAATACTGGATTTGTGCTTGTTTTTCTGACTTAAGTGGCATAAGTTGTAGGGCAAGAGTGGGCAGTTGTAACTTCTAAGAAGTTTTTGGCACACAACTCCCACTAGCCCTAGAAAATATCTAGAGGGTCATAATTTTCCCGCCAGATTGTAGAAGTTTGCAGTGTAGAAGATCCTGAATTTGGGATTTGTTGTCATGTAATTATTGTAATACAGTCTTGATCTTAATGGTTGAGTTATACCCTGAATATTTTTCCTACTTCTCGATGAAATATTGGTGTTATTTGCATCTTAGCGTTGTACTCATAGGTCCTTCTCATTCAAATGTCAGTGCTTTTTACCAACTTTAAAAGGATTGGTGTTGGGGAAAATATGACAGACACATATAGATCTAATGCCGTTGTCTTGCGGATTGAAGTGTTACCATGGCCAAATGACTTTGCAAAGTCTTTTTCTCTCTCTTACATTTCTGTTGACAAATATAGGGGCTAATTTGACAAGTTCTTAGATTTCTAAAACCAGTTGCACATCTGACTGAGAACATGAGAGCAGTGATCAGACCAAAGATCCAACCTGGTCCAACATTCTGTTTGCCACAAAGTCACCAGTCAGACTCCTCTATGAAACTCGCAAACAGGATATAAAGGCTACATATTTCTTTCATGGTACATCTTCTTGTTTCTCCTGGATTTCCCACCATTCACTTTTATTGATTGGCCAGTAGGTTCATAAGAGAGAGGTGACAACATCTGTCCACTTCTCCAGTCCATATTTAATAGTCTAAGCTCATATTTTATTGGCTCCAGAAAATCTGTGGGTATGACACTCAGGATTATGTCCCATGTTCGTGGTCAAAGCTTTCTTCTTTGCATTCCTCTTCCCATCTAACACCAAGAGATTCCAGTTCTACTTCTCTTCTTGAATGGAAATGAAAGGTTCCCTACAGAGACTAATAATAATTTCAGCATGTTAAAAGAAGGTTCTGAGAAGCAAAGCACGTTAACCAAGTGAATCATGCTGGCAAAGTAATTGCAAACTGAGTTCTATCACCTGCAACGGCTGCATGTGGCAGACTGCCACTAGCTCTGGGGCTTGATCCAAGAGTGCCTTGTGAATAGTTTGTATAACGTATTGCTTTTGAAAGAGCCAAATGATGTACAGATTAAAACCACACTGAAATGCTAACTAGCAGCAGACACATTTCAGTTAGTTAAATCTAGTTGTAAACAGACGTAGATATAACACACAGGAATCAAGAAGAAGACATAAAATAAGATATTAAAACATAAAAGTAGAGAATTCTTTCCTTTAGTTGTAAATCTATTGCAGCTGATGTGCATCTTTCATAGTCTTGATGTGTTTTTTTATTTTTAAGTAGCAACACACTATTAACTAGACATTTCCTTCAGAATAAAATAGAACCTGCTGCAGGTGGTCATAGGACATATGTAGGGACAGTTAGATTTTTGGCAATAGCAGTATCTCTTCAAGCTGAAATAACACAAACACAGTTAAGTAACTGTATTTTTAAATAAAGTAGTAGTTACCATGGCATTTTGGAATTGACAGTGAAAGATAGATGTAGTTGTTTCTTTATTTCACATGGAGGCTTAGATGGCAGTTACAATACTATTTAGCTTACAGTTTTACGACACTGTTTTAATTAGTGTCATAATTAAAATGAGACACTTGCTGAAATCAAATTGGCACATTGCAGGTTTGAGATAACATTTATATATAAGAAAACCTAAACATTTTACTCTTCATTTTATCCCTTTCCAGTACAGTTCAGTTGCAAGACAATACCAACAATAAATTAATGGTTGCTGTAATTTTTCAAACTTTTTAACCGTCTCTTTGAGGGTGATTAAAAATATTTTGCCACACTGCACAGCAAGAATAGAAAACCGTCGATTTAAAAAAAAATAAATAAAAAGACAGTAAACAAAATGATTCTTAACGGAACAGAATCCATGTCAGACAGACAATTATATTTACACATAGTCCTTCAGGTTGTAACCTGTGTTGTTCTCTTGCTGAGCACCAATGATCTGTTGCTGCGGCTTGTTAGGGTAAATCCATGCTCTTTGTGATTTTTCGAAACAGGAAGTGCCAAAGATGGCACCTGCAGTGAGCAGAAGTCCTGCTGAAATGAATCCAATGTAAACTGCTCCTCCTGGTTCATGTTTGCTGCTTTCTGGAACCGTTGGGTCCAGAAAATTCAAAATGATTTCTCTGGTGTACCAGGCTGTTGGTATCAAACCAAATATTCCTGCAAGGATAAAGAAGACTCCTCCTGCAAATGAAGTGTGGCTTTTGGTGTCTGTGTCCCCTCCCAGGCGAGTACACTTCATCCCAACGGTGGCGATGCAGATCCCAAAAAAGGAGAGGATGCAAGACAAAACCATAGTGGTCCGTGCTGCTTGGATATAAACAGGGAGAGAAAGGATTGAATATTTGAGAGTGCAGCTGAACATCCCAGTGCTGTACCATGTGCAGTCCATCCAGAGCCCTTGCATCTGAGTTATGGCTGTGATGATGTTCGAACCCAAGTCTGCATTCACCTTCCAGTTGGGCAGTAAGGTGGCTGTGATTGCGCCGAAAACGCCAAACAAGGCAAGGATAAAAGCAAAGAATTGTAGCGCAGCTGATGCCATGATGCGATTTGCTGTCACCTTTTGTCTGCTTGTTTCTCTCCTCTGATTGTAAATGTGTGTAACTGTCTGATAGCAACCCAGCCAAGGCTTTGCTGTCTGTATGTGGTAAGGGGAGGGGGGGAGAATGACAAGGGCAGAGGAGAGAGAAAGTGAGCAAACAAGAGCGTGCATTTAAAATCACAGCTATCTGAATGAATGACTGAACGTGACCCTGCAGCAGATGAGAAGGCTACAAAAGCAGTGAGCAGCTGTACGCAGGGCACTTGAACAGAAACGATTATAAATGAACAGTGTTTGTGAGCGACCGAGCACCAGCAGCAGCCCTTCCGTAATATGCAGTGGCACAAAAGTCATACGCAACAGTAAGGCATCACAGCGTATATGTACCAAAAATAAGAAAAAGGATAATAAAATAATTCTCGCAGGCGATATCCAACATCAAAGCCTAAATCTAACTAGGGACACAGGGAAGGGTGAGGAAAAAACTGGTAACTGTTTTTAGTCCTGAAATTCAAGTTTGCAGTTAAATTTTTTAATGGTTTATAGTAATACAGGGTTTTTTTCTCCATTTCCCTAGCAAATTTTTAAATTTTGTCCTAATTATATTTTTTCCAGTGATTGTTCCGCAAGGGCTGTTTGTTTTGCAAAGATATTGGATACTTTATTCCTGTTATTTGAAAAGTTCAGGCTTCTGGGTTGAGCGTTCAAGTCTCAAACTAGGAACTTAATTTATCCAGTCCTTGATTTACATTAACCACCTCTTATATGGTGCTGGGAATAAATCGTTACTAAAATCTTGAGGTCCATCAGAAGTGAAACACATTTAGGTATTGTTTCTCTATAATTTGGTCAACCAGATACTTAACTCATTAGCATCAGATACCTGAAAGAAACGTACTGAACTTGAGCTGGATCTTGCTACTGTAATCTAAAAGATGTCAGGTATTTTTATTAAACTGTTTCTATTAAAATGTTTAAATTTCTGCTCCTGTCTATACATTTCTATTATTATTTTTAAAATTATTTATACAGAAAAAACAAATATAAAAATAAAAACATACGTACTTAAGAAACCTAATCACATAAAACAGTTACAGAAAACGTGCTTCTCACTCCAGAACCATTTGGAGATATATCATTTTTGCCTCCCTTTATGGAGCCCGCTTCCAAAATTGCATTAATTCTTGCGAAGGTTCCCTTTCATTAATACAAAATCAATAAATTTTTACCAAATATATTTAAATATCTTATTTTATCAATCACATCTCCATGAGACGCATCTCTCCATAAGACGCACCAAATCACCAAATATATTTAGATATCTTATTTATCAATCACATCTTTCCTTTAATACTATACGTTAACTTATCAGTAATATTCCAAACGTCTTATACCATTCGATTAACTGAAAATTGTACTTTGTTTTCCATTTCCTTGTGGCCATTAATCTTACTGCTCTTAACATGTTTGAAATTAATTCTTTCATTGTCCATTTTCATTGTTCCATTGTTAAAAGCACTATTTTAGGACATACCTTTATATTTAACTTAATTATTTCATTTATTTCTTTGAAAACGATGGAAATAAGTACCTGTTTTTTGACATCCTATTTATTTCTTTGAAAACAATGGAAATAAGTACCTGTTTTTTGACATCCTCTCTAACACAACTTAGAATAATTAGTATCTACTTGACATATTTCACCAGAGTTAAATTCCATTTCCAAAATAATTTATAAAACATTTCCTTTATCATTACAGATATAGATTTCAGTATTCTTGTATCCCATATATCCCACATGGTGTTGTTTTCTTATTCCAAAGCATGTTTCCATGTTTTAAGAAAATCTTGCTGATCTTCTCTTTCTATTAATATTTTATGATTTTTACTTGCTATCCCTTTCATTACTTTTATTTCTTCTTCCAAAGCATGTTTCCATAATGTTTTAAGAAAATCTTGCTGGTCTTCTCCTTCTATTAATATTTTATAATTTTTACTTGCTATCCCTTTCATTACTTTATTTTCACCTACATTTTCCTTCTCTAATACCATTTCTTTAAATGTCATGGTCCATGCACTTATCATTCCATTTTAACCAATCTTTAGTCCATTGCTCTATTTGTATCAGATTGAACCAATATGTTCTCTCCATTCCTGGTATTTCTTTTGTTTGCTTTTTATTCCCTGCTTTTTCTAACTAACCTTTTATCCTAATAAATTTTTTCTTTCTTAATAAATTCTTCGTATTTGATTTCATGTTTCCTTGAAATATCTCCAACTCTACTACTGGACATAATGGAGAAATTAATGGAATACTGTAAATATTTTTACATACTTATCTCAAATTAAAAGTATATTTTTAAAAAGGGGTTTCACTATTTTTACAGTATTCTTATTATGTTGTATTAAAAGGATATTCTCAGGGTTACAGTGACATTCTTATAATTGCATATTTAACCATATTAAATTATTGGACTGAGATACAATAACATATGTATGTCTTATTTGATTGGCTATATAGTATCATCTTAAAATAAGACGACCCAACATTCCTGCTCTTTGAGATTTGTACCGTCTCTTCTTGTAATCCTTGCTTTTTTGTCTCAGTTACAAAATTCATTAGTCATATTTTCCAAGCTTTCAACTCTTTATAGGTGACACCATAAATAGAACATTTATCTTAGGTAAAATCCTTATTTTATTTATTTATTTATTTATTGTTTGTTTGTTTGTTTGTTTGTTTGTTTGTTTGTTTGTTTGTTTGTTTGTTTGTTTGTTTGTTTGTTTGTTTGTTTGTTTGTTTGTTTGTTTGTTTGTTTGTTTGTTTGTTTGTTTGTTTGTTTGTTTGTTTGTTTGTTTGTTTGTTTGTTTGTTTGTTTGTTTGTTTGTTTGTTTGTTTGTTTGTTTGTTTGTTTATTTAATACCCTGCCTATCTGGTCATTGTGACCACTCTAGGCGGCTTCCAGACATATAAAGAATAACATATACATATACCAAAATAAAAATTATAAAAGAACAAACAATAAACAGATGCTTCAAGATGGAAAGATAGCAAAAGATAAGTGAAGAAAAGAAGAAATTATTTTACATACCATTATTCTATCAAACTGTGAAAGTCCAATCTTCCTAAAATTATCTAGCTTATTTTTTTAAATTTCTTCAATTTTTTAAAATTTTCCACTTTCAATCGTTCTCAATTCTATGGACTATTTATGCCTCAATATTAAATAGACTTAATAAATTTAAAACATATCTAACCTGCTATTTTCCTTAAGAAGGACCCAAGGCAGCTTACATCATTCAAAGACATTATTTAAATAAAAAAAAAACCCAATAATTACACAACTACTAAAAAGGATCAAACAAAAACTATAGTGAAAGATGGCAAACAGAAGCAACATCAAAACTCATTCAAAGCAGTAAGGCCCAAGAATCTATTTAAGAACCCCACTCAGGACACCAATAATTAAGGGAAAGCTTGCTTGAAGAGAAAGATCTTTGCCTGCTTTTGAAAGCATAGCAAAGATGGTGCCAGCTTGGCGGCTTGTGGGAGGGAGTTCCAGAGTCTGAGAGCAGAAAAGAACATCTTCTGTTTCCCACCACCATCACCACCAAATGCACCTGTGGTGAGGCCAAAAGAAAGGCCTCTTCTGATGATCTTAACATCTTCGTTATACTTTTATCATACTTTGAAGTATGAACATCAGATATGTTTATAATTATCTCTTTTTCATCTTTATTATAATTAAAAATAATCTCTGTTTTGCATCAATTCATTTGTAACCCCATTATCTCCCTGCTTCAAATTCTTTTAAGTTTAATTTTCTAGTATTTTGTTTCTAGAAATATTTTCTGATTACTAAAAGGTAAAATAATGTATGTTATAATGCCTTTTTACTCCTGTTCAGATTTCTTGGATTTGGAAGGGGATTTGATAGGGAGACTTAAACTATAGGGCAATATGATTAGTTTTAAACTATTAATATTAAAATATTCTTTCATTCTTCATTACTGAACATAAATCCATCTAATTAATTCTACTGTTTCCCCAGCCTTAATCTTGCAGAGATTTACAGACATTATTTTACTTATAGTCAGTGAATTCAGTTCAGTGGCAGTTGTTTTGCAAAAATAAGGTTAAATCTTCTGAAGCAGTGTAGACATCTCTTGTTTTTATGAGGTTTTACTGGTGCACCATTACCCATTTGGTGTATCACTTAGTGAACTAAGTGAAATGATTTAAATCCAGTAAGGTTTGTATATCTTTATACTTGAGTTAGACTGTTTTTTGAAAAAGCATGTAGTTGAAAAACAAGCCTGAGCATAGAGTTTGCAATCCAGTAATTAATAGATATTTCTGTTGTGCTTTTTCCATGCCTGTAATAAAACTTTGAATCTAAAATTGGCTGTCAGTATATTCAAAATAGAAAATAAAATGTCTCTTTGCTGAGACAGCCTTTTTTTTAACCAGCTCAGCTAGGCATGTTGGAGAGCACTGTGTTTTTTTAAACTATGTCAGACTTTTCCTGTAAATTAGTGTTTCATGCGCAAAGTATATGTTTACACATGGATTCTTTCCTCTTGGCAGTTCTACAATACTCAGTTATATCAATTTTAAGACTTGTTTTAACATTTAAGCAAAAGAGAAGAGTTGTTTGTTTAGTAGTAAATACACTTACCTGGAAATATGCCCCATCAAATACAGTAGGACTTGTGTATAAGTAAAGACAGTTCCTGTATTTATTTAATCAAGGCAGCAAATAATTTGTGCACTCTCTCATTTAGAAGACACTTCAGTGTGTTATTTATTCTCAAAACCTTTGCCTGTGGCATTGCAGGAAAATATTTGTTTTGTTGTTTTTTGTGTGTGTGTGTGCCATCAAGTCATCCTCAACTTACGGCAACCTCGTGAATGCCCTGTCTCCAAAATGTCCTGCCCTCAAACCAAACAGGTGCATTAATAGCATTCAGACTCATCTTGCCATTTCCCATGTACCTAGTTTCACATCTTTTCAGTTTTGTGGTCCAAAGTAATTGCAAACTGAGTTCTATCACCTGCAAAGGCTACGTGGCAGACTGACAGTAACTCTGGAGCTTGATCCAAGAGTGCCTTGTGAATTAGTGTCCAGTGTATCTTTAAAGAATAATCCTGTATCTGTAACGTCCTGGATTTCTACAGCATAAGATGGAGAGGAGAGAAGACTATTTTATATACTGGCTCCATGTATTATTTGGATGGTTCAGTTCAGTGCCTTACAGTAGCCATGCCCTTCTCCCCCATATAGCTTGCAATAAACTACAGGCTTTTAGAAGTTTAGCATCCACTACTGAGGTACCTGTTTATTTACTTATGAAGCTACAACATTTACCACAGTGGTGGAACTCTTTTCTGAAAAGAAATTCTTTCTTTTTTTTTCAGGGAAGAAAATACCAACTGGGGAAGTGAAGTATTTTCTTCCATCTGTTAGAACTGTCCCCACCCAGGTGTATTCCAGATGTGTTTGGGACGATGAGAGTTGTAGTCCACCTGCTCTGGAGTCCATCATGTTGAAAGATGCTTTGCTTTGTTTTTTCTAAAATGGGCAGTGGGTGTGTAAGCGCCTTTTTACTCTTTTGTACTCTCTGAAAACTCACTTTTGCTTGATAATATCCTTTGTAAAATGAAAGCTTTGGGATTAGGTCCAGTTAAAGGATTAAATCTCTATTTCTGAGGGACCAAATAGCTACCAAGTTTCAGATTTATTCAAGAGTGGGTGCACATGTTTGCTCCCAAGGGCTCCCAACATCTATTCCTGAGTTGATTGGTCTTTCTCAATGGTGATATTTATTATTGCTTCTTTTTCTGTGTTGCAGCAGCTTTGAAAACTAACACAAGTAAGATCCCCAAACAATGACAATAGTAGCTTCCTCACAAAATGATTAAAATAGCAGCATCCTCACAAAATGATCCTATAAATTATAATATCAACATTGTAATATTTGTTAGAACACAGTTGTAATGCAAAGGTCTAATCTTACATTTAGTACTTACTGCTTAAAGGGAGCTTTGAGACACGTTCTTCACCGTGAAAGTTGCATTATAATCACAACTTCTCTCAAACGTTAAGATCTCTGGTCTTCATACAAAATTGCATTTTTTCACCCTTGAGCAAAAAACTGCTCTGCTGCTATGAGCACAGCAGTGTAACTCATTCACTGTCTTAGTACCATCTACCAAAGAATAAAGACTGACTTTGTTTAAAGAATCTGCACTGGAGAACAGATACTGTTTAGGGAGCAAATGGAGATTATGTAGAAAAGATATGTAAATGGTTCTAAAAGCATAAAGATTTCCAGATGGCATAATGAAATCTTGGCAGTGTGAAATATGCAATATTCTAATGTTTTAATTTAAAAAAATTATTTCCCACTCTTCCTACATTTTTCAAAGCTGCTTCCGTTGCAAGAAAATGTAATTTTGCAGAATAAGTTTAATTATGTCTGAAAATAAAATTAAATGAATTATATTCCAAAACACCCACCATACCCTAAATTCCCTACAACAAAGTTATCATTCCCTTTGAGAGTTATAGTGAATAATTGATTCTAAGTGACAAACGTATCACTGAATTTTGCATACCTGCTACTGACAGCTTGTAGCTTCCTGTAGCTCTTTCTTTAATTAGTTGCCTTTCCCTGAAGACCATGAGGCAAAAGGGTAGCAGTGCTTGCTGATGAGGCTGATCCGATAAATGCAGAGAACTGCTGAAGAGATAGCAACACGGCAGTTTGAAGAAACATATATAACAAACAAATTAAAAGGGAAGCTTGCTGATTATGCAACAAGATAAATATGTGCTTCCTCTAGTGTCTGATTTTTCTCAACAGTGGAAAGGAAAAATGGATTGGTTTGTGGTATCTGATGGTTGACAGCTGCATAGCTTTATCCCTTCCAGTTTTGACATAACTGAAGTGTTGCAATTTCTGTTAGAAAAACTGTTGGTGTTTTTAAGGCTATGTTGTCCCAAGCCAAATTATGCAGTATAGTACTTTCATTTATTGATTGATTGATTGATTGATTGATTGATTGATTGATTGATTGATTGATTGATTGATTGATTGATTGATTGATTGATTGATTTGATTTGATTTGATTTATATCCCGCCCATCTGGTATATCTCTACCACTCTCGGCGGCTTACAGAATATCAAAACAATTAAAAACATTAGCATACAACAATAACAAATAGTGCAGGAATAAATAAATAATAAATAAGATTGTGTTGCAGAGTCTTACTTGGTTCTCACAACCCTGATAGCTCACTATCTACAAATTCTGGCTGGGCCTGCCTGGTAGCTGCTGATCCTTCCTGTCCTCTGGCCTAGATATCTCTGACCGAGATGTAGAAGCTCTTAGAAGCAAAGAAAAACAGGTTGCTTATAATTGGTCTGTTGGGCTGAGCACAACTGCAGGGACTGTCCCATTCCCTTCCATTTAAGATAAGCATGGGGACCTTTCCTTCTGATATCATTGGTTTTGGATGTGCTTCTCAACATGATTTGACAAGTTTGGAGAATCTCTGAGTGAACTCAATAGGACTAGTGGATGTGCTTCTCAACATGATTTGAGAATCTCTGAGTGAACTCAATAGGACTATTGTTGAGGGAGAATTCATAGGGTGGGCCTGTTGTTTGATTTAATTGTATCAAACCTAGTATTTTAAGCATTGGGGTAGACAGTTCAAGCCAGTACTATTTCAGGTACTTGGAAATGTATTGTGAGATGGTGATCTGGCATACATTCGTATCACCTTTAAAAAGATGGTAGAGCTAACATCCCTAAATCACAGATGGGGAATGTGAGGCCCTCCAGATGTTGGCAGTAATTCTGTCACAAAGAATTATGGGAGTTGCAGTCCAGTATCTTGAGGACCACAGATTTATATTCCTCCTTAAACTAGGGAGGAAAACTGGGAATCATAAAAATACTACCCTTCATGTAGGGATCTTAAGTAGAAAGGTTGCTGAAGAACTAAGAGTGAAATGAGCCTCACTTTGAGAGCTGTCATTGGACTCTTGGTAGCACTCAGTTGTTGATAAGCCATCACAGAACGTCCTAGAAATGTTTCCATAGCAGCCTCCTCGCCTGATACGTAACAGGCTCTTATTGTAGTTGAATCAAACTGTACATGTGTGATGTTTCTGACTTCAAAGAAGTACCATTCCTGCAACAGCTCCAAGAGCCCAGTAGGTGATAATCTTGGATGATGAGATTTATAGCCCAGCCTTCCAAGGGTTCCAAGGTGGCTTGTGAAATGTTAATAATTACTGCATAGATTACTACAATGCACTGTATGTGGGGCTGCCTTTGAAGACCATCCGGCCGCTGCAACTCGTTCAGAATTGAGCTGCATGGCTGGTGAGTGGTGGGGCCGCTAGGGAACACATCAGGCTGATTCTGTTTCAATTACATTGGTTACCAGTTGCTGCCCGGGCCCAATTCAAAGCACTTGCTTTGACATATAAAGCCCTGAACGGCTTGGGCCCTGGTTACCTGAAGGACCACCTCCTCTTTGATTTGTGTAATCTAGCCTGTTATGGTGTACAAGTTTTATTTATTCATTTAAAATGTTTACCCATCCTTTCTCCATAAAAGGACCCAAGACAGCTTACACCATTAAAAAATAGCTAGGAACAATAAATTATTCACGCATTCAAACAGAATTAAATAAAATTTGTTAAAAAAATAGAGATGGGGGTATTCGTATATCTATATCCCCATGCAGCTGTACTTAACGAGGGTCCGGAACTGGGGCTGGCCCATCACTCACACATCAGGTGGTGGCGGCCCTGCTAATCTTTCCTGTCACTCCCAGAGCGCCACTCTCTTCCCACTCAGCTGGCCATTCCAGGCAGGGGGAGGGAGGACAAGTCTCCCCATATGGCTGCCGAGTGCCCAGCCAAGCAGGAAGAGAACGGTACTCCAGGAGTGATTGGAAAGAAGAGTGGGGCCACCGTTGGACACAACCTTTGTTAAGTCCATCTGCGTGGGGATATTCGTATTTATATACGAATACCCCCATGTATACTAAAAATGTTAAATGAAAGCATTATTCTCACAAGTGAGAAATATGATGGAGTAGCAGTGATTCCCAAGCCAGAATTAAGATTGCCAAAAGAAATATCAACGACCTCAGATATGCAGATGATACCACTCTGATGGCAGAAAGTGAGGAGGACTTAAAGAACCTCTTAATGAATGTGAAAGAGGAGAGTGCAAAAAATGGTCTGAAGCTCAACATCAAAAAAAGAGCTAAGATTATGGCCACTGGTCCCATCACCTCCTGGCAAATAGAATTGGAAGTCACCTTCTTGCAATTCCTTTTTTCCTGGGAAGCTACGGTTGCCTGCTCACATTGAGCACAAGACCTGGATATAAACCATATTGTTGCCCTTTTTGTCGCATGATTCGCCCTTTGAGCCCTCCAGGCCGAACACCTGAACCCTTTCAGAAGGGGAGTTGAATAGCAGCAAGAGATAAGAGTGAGAGGGTAGACATGGGCACGGACACCTGGTTCATGCCAGTTCATTTGCTGGCCAAACAGGTGTTCAGTGGTGATTCCAAGCCCTGCCCATTTAGAGGCTGTGCCAGGAGCAGGCAAGGCAGGGCAGGGCAGATGTGGCACTGCCTCTGGGTGGGCACCCCCCCAAAAGAGATGGGGCTTGGAAACACCAAACACTTGTTCAGCCAGTAAACAAACCAGCACAAACCCCATCTCTATAGAAGGGTTGTGTGGTCTAATTATTTCCTGGGAAGCGGTGGAAGACAGGAGGGCCTGGCGTGCTGTGGTCCATGGGGTCACGAGTCGGACATGACTTAACGACTGAATAACAAAAGCAGTGATTTTAAAGCATCCGAGCAAATGAACAATGTTTTCCTATATTTGTTCCCATAGTAACAAAGCAGCTTTCCTGTGCGTTGAGAGCCAAAGCCTGTAATGAAGTGCTTTCATATGACATGCTTTATGTTCAGATATAGAAACAACCAAGTGTAGACTTAAAGTAGTTGGCCTTTATGAAGCCAGCCGATTGTCTTACTTTTCCAAATTTTTTGTGGGTGGTTGGACAGAGAAGAGGTCCTTCCACTGTTCTTCGAGAGCGTGTTCTAACAAACTGGAAAAGTATTGCGGAAGAAAATTACCCCACATCTAGAGTTTTTCTTGCACTAGAGATTTTCAGTAATGTTTAAAGTGCCCACTAAAGTCATTTTATTCTGTATTCAGTATATTTCAGATGCTGTAAAATTACCAATTTTGTGATGCTGCCCTTGCAAGAAGACTTTGCTGCAGACATTTATATTTACATTTATAAGACTTTAACCCCCTTCCCAGACAAAGTCTACTTGGGGCGGCTTACATGAATAAAAACACAACAATACAACACACATAATAAAATCCTCCAAAACCAAAACTTAACTCTTATTCACAAACTTCATGATTTTGTTTGGAAGCCACAAGTTAAATCCTTTTTTTCCCAGAAGTAGTAGTAGATCTTCTGTAATGTTATGTTTTAGAACAATTTACAATACTGTACTTATTCCGGATCACTTCTTCCTAAAGCATCTAGGCGAAATGTATATTTAAGAAATTTTGCTATATGTGTGAAGGGTAATCAGTATGTAATACAGTGGTGCCTCGCAAGATGAGCGCTTCATTTTATGACGAAATCGTATAACGACAAAGTTTTTGCGATCGCAAAACGATGTTTCCTATGGGTTTTTTTCGCTTTGCGATGATCGGTTCCTTGCTTTGCTAACCGATTATTGCAAAACAACGATTTTTGTACAGCTAATCGGTGGTTTCAAAATAGCCGCCAGGTAAAAAAATGGCCGCCCGCTGTTTTCTGGGACGGATTCCTCACTGCATGGGCAGCGAAAATGGCTGCGCTATGGAGGATCTTCGTTGGACGGTGAGTTTCAAGCCCATAGGAACACATTAATCGGGTTTTAATGAGTTTCTATGGACTTTTTAAAATCACTTTACGGTGTTTTCGTTCTACAGCAATTTCGCTGGAACAAATTAACATCATAATGCGAGGCACCACTGTACCTGAATACATCTTGTCCACTTTCTGCCATTATATGTAATATCTACACATACAATGTAATCATAATTTGTCAAGGTCGGGGGAGAGAAAGTAAGTAAAATTAATCTCGAGTGGATTGTTTTTGTATAGAATGGCATTCAGTACAAACTTCAGGTCAAATCTAGAGAAATCCTATAGTGATAAGCAACTTTTATCCCTGCTGGGCAGGGCTCTGCCTCTCGTGCACACGACTTCAGCGCTCTGTATGTGTGTGTGTGTCTCTCTGTCTCTCTCTGTGTGTGAGATAAGGCCTCTGCCCCCCCTTACGCATAGGGTTCCATCACGACTGGAACCAAATGCGATCACTGTGGAGGAGGTAGAGAGTTGCTCAGAAGGACATGGAATTGTGCGCTTGCCCAGCTTAGAGGGAAACTTGGGGATAAGCGGAAATTGTTGTGTTAAAACTCCTCATTTGTTGAATTCATCAGGCTTAGATGGTTTATCTCTGTATTGGGCAGTACGTATAGTGAAAGGTATATGGATGATAACAACTTAGGAGGAAAATGCTGGCAATTCCTAGGTCCCGCCGTGACATGAACTCACCATAATTAGAGTGGGGTAAATGTGCTGTTTCGTGTTTCTGCTTCTGGGTTTTGAACTTATCATAATGGTATCAAAGAAGGCACTCTGTCCAGTGCATATCGAAAGAGAAATGAGACAACAGGCATTGTCCTCTATGCATGTAGTACCAACCTTTCTACTTATCATGAAAACCTTATTTATAGAATATTACAAGAAAAGTGTGTGTCCCCAGGTTTCATTTTGCAGAAGTAATTATTGATAGAATCATAGATTTACTGTTTTAAAGTTCTATTGAGCTAACACTGTACTTCCCTTATTTGAATAAAAATTTACTTTAGATTTGGAAATCCTTTTTCACAGCCATCATTTCATTCAGTTTTTAATTCACAGGTGGATGTGAGTATAGTTCATTTTACACCATTGGTGCACCCGAAGATAGAACAGCCATTTAAATTGGTGGAAAAAGTCGTTCAAAGTGTTTTTCAGTTCAGAAGGAAACACTGCCATCATGGTATACGGTAAGATACCTTATTTCTGAATATAAATTATACTTTCAGGACAATAGTGTTTTGCCTATTCGTAGTGAGCTTACGCATGCTTTGGTAACCAGAGTAATATGTGAAAGATGTGGCAGCCACAGGCCAAACTTTACAGACAGCTTTGTGTACGCCCTCATCATCTCAAGCAGTTCTTTTGCAGGATTCCTCTTCCTAAGGGAATTGCCAGATTGCCACATCCAAAGTGTTATTGGTTAAAGAATCACAGGAAGATGCCAATTCAGTTTGGGACTAAGTTAGCAGTGGCTACTGAGTCTTTTGTTTCACCCCAAGGGGAGCGTACCTAAACTTCTGCTCCACTTTGTACTTGCAACTAGTCCTTATAAATGCATTTGAGCCTATACCCTCAATTTGATTGCAGTACCTGGCTTGTTTCAAGTATGACCAAGGAAGGGCAATGACTCATTGGTAGATTGCATTCCAAATTCTATTTGGAAGAAAGTCTGATCTCAGCAGGCAAGATTTAAGTAGAGGATAGTTCAGCAGAGTAGGCAGCCCAGGGTCTGCACAGGCAGGATCCAAACCAGATAAGAGCAAAGTCTAAAAGTGCAGTCTGAAAATAGTTCCATCACAGAGAATTCAAGTAGCAAGATCTAGGCAATCAGAGAATACTGAGTAGGAGGATCTGCAGTTGATACATAGATTTTGAAGCAACTGTCTGCCTGAAATTAAAGCTAATAAACCAGAAAGAGCTTATTTCCCCATTTAATATAGCACAACATACTGCAGTTATGTAGTACAACAGCACAACAGTTGTCTGAAAGTTGAGTCATGGCAACTGGACTTCTTTCTTATTAGGGTAAAACATTTCACTCCTCATCCAAGTGCAGTGGTCCCTCGCTTAACGACAATAATCCATTCCAGGAAAATCACCATTAAGTGAAAACATTGTAAAATGAAAATAAAAACCCCATTGAAATGCATTGAAACCCATTCATTGTGTTCTAATGAGGTAAAAACTCACCATCCAGCGAAGATCCTCCATACGGCGGCCATTTTTGCTGCCTGTATAGCGAAGAATCGGTCCCTAAACGCAGTGGGGAGCCTTTTTAATCACCCGGCGGCCATTTTGAAACCACCAATCAGCTGTGCAAAAAACGTCATTTTGCGAAGAATCGGTTCCTGAAGCAGGGAACTGATCATCGCAAAGCGAAATTCCCCCATTCAGACCATCGTTTAGACTTAACAATTAGATCGTTATGCGGTTTCATCATAATGCATGGCAATTGTAAAGTGAGGCACTACTGTAGCTTCTTCAGTAGTGATGGGTAGTGAAACGTTTCAACCTAATAAAAAGGAAGTCGAGTTGCTATGACTCAACTTCCAGATAACCTCACTTGGATGACTGAGAATCGTCACAGAAACATATAACTGTGCTCTGCTTAAGATATTAACATTTCATACTTTGTCCAGTACACAAGTATAGCTGTGTGATCAAAAATGCATTGTACAAAAAGATACACAGAAAAATGTCAGTAGTGCCTATATTGCTACTATACATTTTTAGTGGTGCAAGTATAGGCTGTTCAAGTGATAAAGAAATGAGTCTGTTGCTAAAATTGAATTACAGTCACTGCTTCAGGAACTTCCAGTATCAGTGTCCTACAGATAGTGTTAAAAGGAGATGATGTTAAACAATGCAATTAGAATAATAGTAGACCTAACATTTGCATGTTAACAGGACCTATTGTTGGTGACTTCTCCAGCCATAGGATTCTGTTTCTCTTGGGACTTAAAACAAGAGATTTTGTGCGGTAATAGTTAAGACCAAATAAGACCACCTTAAATAATAGTAGACCTAACATTTGGATGTTAACAGGACCTGAGTATTATTGGTGACTTCTCCAGCCATAGGATTCTATTTCTCTTGGGACTTAAAACAGGAGACTCTGTGCCGTAATAGTTAAGACCAAATAAGACCACCTTGAAGAAGGTGGGCAAGAAAGAGGGCTATGATAGCAGAAAAGAGGAAAGCCAGAAACTCAACATTTTTTCAGTAAGCCTGTTTATGGATTGGCAAAACAAGGTTCAGCGGCTCTTTTACTTCATTTAAGGGCAAAACTGCCAGAGTGTGAAAATGGATTATTTTTTTATATGGCAGCCCTGGGAGGCTGCAAAAATAACTAACATTTGGAGGCTTTCGATCCCTGATTTAAAGATACTTACATGTCATGAAACAATTCCAAGGTAATTGAAAATTGTAATCACCTGACAGATATGCTTGATTGTATTCCTGCATTGAACAGGGGGTTGGACTTGATGGCCTTGTAGGCCCCTTCCAACTTCACTTTTCTATGATTCTATGATCTTTTTGATGGGTTATCCACTGGTTAAGTACTTTACTTTGGAGGACAGCATATATTGTGGTGGTCTCTAGTCTTGTAAGGAGGTAGGCTAGTGCACATAGTGTAGGCAGCCAGTCATATAATGGCTGAGAAAAAGGTAATGCTACTGGAATTGGCTACTGATGTTGACAGTAATCAGAAGGCTTCAAAATCTTAACAAAAATGAAAACACTGTTGATTTGTTTCTTTTGCTATTAAACCTGCTCATCATGTCTGCTACTTTCTTCCAGGATTTTATTTCCAGAAGCTCAGCGTTTAGAGAAGGCTAAACAGATGCTCATGCTGGCAGATGTTGATCCAACTCTATATCCCACTCAACTGTCTGTGTTCCATTTTAAATCCCTTTGTGATGTCTATAGGGAAATGTGTGATGAAGACCCAAATCTTTTTGCATATAATTACAGAGAGGAACTGAGAGAGAGAAAAAAACACAAGACCAGCAAATATAATAGGACTGAAGACAATAATTTGCTCTAGTTACTTGTCTAAAATGAGCCAGATGATGCCAAGGAAATACATTTCATTTAAGTAATACATTTCAGTAATCCTAAAGCACTCTGATCCAAAGCATATGTGAAATTTGTAGAACTGAGAATGGTCTAAAATTAGCATAACTTTGTCTCAAAACCAAAATGGTACTGGGTTTTTTAAATGTAAGTAAAACATGTTCTAAGAAGTCCTCTTTGAAATCAGTCACATGAAGGATTAGAAATAGAATAAAGTGTCAAAAATTGTTAAGTTACTGAATTTCAGATGTCATAAAAGGAGGCATAAAACATTTACTTCATTGCACATTTTACTGTACAGGCTTGTAGAGAAAATAAACATACAATAAGATTACAGTAAAGACTTTTATATTTACACCTAGTATATAAAAATCAAGTATAAACAACATATTTCATCTTAGTGCAACAAAAGGTAGGACTTTAGTTCTTCTGCGATGAATTAGAAGTAATTTTGCTTTAAATAAAGCAAAAATCAACCAGAACAAATATCCCAAACAATTAAAACTGTTTGTACTTTTGTCAAAAATGTAGATCATAATCATTTAATTCCCATTTTCCAAAATTTTTAAAATTTTAATTTATTCAAAAATGGGATAAATTAATTTACAAAATCTTAAGGGCAGCTTAATCTAGGTTTTCTTCTCCACAATAAATTAAAATAACTTAAGCCTTTACAACGACTTCTGTGGGAAAACACAGTAGTGCATTAAACGAAATAGTAGTTTTCAGTTGCAACATTCACCTATTTAAGAAAAAAATGTAAATGAAATCTTGGGGGGGGGGGAATAATCAGATTTCAGGCAGCTAGGATTTACCATGCCTGTCTACTGTTTCATAAAAACAGTCTTCATTAACTACTGAAGTTAAACTTTGTACACTAAATTCCCTTTCTAAAACAGAGTTCAGATCAAAACTTCCAGCATCTGGGTGACTATCAAGAGACTGGTGCCTTTCTTGCATTGCAAGTAATGTTCCTTTGTCACGTCTTGTACTGTTTGCTTTCCGTTTAATGGGACAAAAATGGGCACGCACTAATTTAGGGTGCTCTGCTTCACTCTTTTTCTCATCAGGATATCTTTCTTCTGCATCACTGCCCAGATTCTCTGAAATCTTCAGCCTTTGGAATTCAATTTCAATATCTTTCGTAGGGCTGCCTTTGTTTAGGATCTGCTGGTAGTCGTCCTCAGCATCACTAAGAATGTCAGATTCTTTGACAGGGCTGTTTGAAAAGTCCGATGCACAGTTCTGCAGGTGTTTCACAGGAGATGAATCTTTAGATTCCAAGATGCTGTCTGTGGTATGGCAGCTGCTACTCGGAGTGCTGCTGCTCTGGCTGCATTCATCAGAATCCAGTTCACTTCCTTTAATAGCATCCGTGTTCCATTCATTCGTGGGAGAATTCTTCAGTAACTTCAACGCTCTTGAAGAAGCTGCCAGTGTAAAGCACATTAATACTGTACTCAGCAACTAGTGTTACCATAACAATAGCTATCATAAGGTTTTATATTTTAACATTAAAATAACCAGGACTGATAAAGATTAGATACTGTATGTAGGTGCTAAACCGATTTGTCATCCTGCCACTTTAAGCAATTTAATTAGGTTCCAGAAAAGCCACATTTCATAAAACTAGTTGCAAATTAGTTAGATAAATTTCATATAGGAGCCACTCCAGATAATTTTGCTAAAAGGCAGCAGTGTTAACTCCCTCCAAATAATAAGCAATATACTGCACACCACAAAGAGCTCTGAAAGGGAGAATGTTGTAAAATTCCCACCTAGGTTACTGAAAACCAGTTAGCAAAGTTAATTGTATTTCCCCCATGTCAACATGTAGTGTTGGAAAGTAGAAACTGCAGGGCACTGAACATTAAAACTTGAAGCTAGAGAGAGTGGAGGGCACCGAGCCCCGGGTGTATACAATCTCTTAGCAGTCGTCTTCTATTTTAATAATGGGATAAAATAGAAGTCTCAACGCTTTTTCTGAAATTGCTGCCTAACAGAGTCAAAAACACAAGTTTTCTGACTCGGAAAGAAAGGGGAGTTTGGCTGAGGAGGGTGTTGTAGAGGCGTGTGCTTTTTCTTTCTTTCTTTTTGATTTATCATATAATATTTCATTCTGGACATTCCACATACCAGACCACCCAGAGAAATGCTGAGCTTGGAAGGCTTCATGGCCTAGGAAATGCAGACCTCCAGCCTAGGTACCTGTTAGAAAAGGAAATTGCTGGAAACTTCTATCCAGTCTAGAAGTAAATTGCTACTGAGTTAGCAGTGGCTATTGAGACTTTTGTTTCATCCCAAGAAAAGCACACCTAAACTTGTAGTTTGGTTGTGTTTGAAACTCACCTTATAAATGCTCTTGAGTCAATTTGACTGCAGTACCTCGCCTGTTTCAGGTCGAGTAATGACTCATTGGTCTCTGTGAAACTCCCAGCAAGCACTGGGGCAACTTTTCTAACAGGAGCATGGCCTATTCCAGCCTGTGGAACCTTCTAGCACAGCTTTTTGCTAGGTGAGCACGGTTCGGGTGTGGGTCTGGCAGGTGGCTTAGGCTGCAGGGTCACGGCCCAATGGATATCTGTCTCTGGCGTTGAAGAGACAGGTCCAATCTCAGTTTTCTCCCTGTGCCCATCAAGAGAGTTGACACAGCCCTCGTCCTATAATGTTTCTCCCTGTGCCCATCAAGAGAGTTGACACAGCCCTCGTCCTATAATGTTAATGTTACCAATGGAACACTCCATTTCAAACTTTTCCCAGTCAGCAGGAAGAATTCTTATCAGCTTTCACTGAGCATAACTAATCCCATTTTGAACAGGACTTCAGCATCAGATAGTATTGCCACAAAATGCAGTGGATGGACGTCTTGATAAACATTTTAAGAAACCATATGCTTACCCAATTTTGCTGAAACAGGAATTCGATTTTTATGTAGAACTAGGCGACTTTTACATGCTTTCTCCAAAGGCAAATCACACTTTATTTGACGCCTGAAGTTCTCTCTCAGAATGGAACGAATCACTTTAACTATATTGGCCTTGCTTTCACAATCACTGCAAATATAAGAAAACAATTACTATGTTTTAAATACAGAGACAGAAACTCTTTTCAATAAGGAAGGTCAGTGTGGGGGTTTGATACTGGTTCTCTAGGCAGAACTTTCATCTGTCATCAATGTTTGGTTCTTTGTGCTCTATGCATAGAGGTTAGAGTATTTTCATTTAAGAACCTTAGCTTCTCTCCTCCATTGAGAGGCTGATGGAAACCTTTCCATTCTATTCTCTTCTGGCTGCAGCATCAGAGAGAACCTATTCTTTCTTCTGAAATTTCTGAATAAATAGGATATATAAACTGCCATTCCATAACTAAATAGAATATTGTATAGTATAATATTCCTGAAGGATGTATATCATAATGCCTTAAGAACTGTCTAATAAGCTTATGGAAGGAGGCTATTATTTGGTTAGGGAGTAGAAGGGGGAAAGACTCCATAGGGTGGAGGGCAGTTACTGTAATAATTGGATCTAAGCATTGTACCTGCTACATAGCTGGAAGGTTGTTTCGGGTCTTCCTTGTAATTCTGACTTTGTATGAATCAGTTCCCAAATGCAATTGTTTTCTGTTCCTGCATATAGAAAGAATACTTGTTATAAATACAAGTCTCTAATCAAGCAATTTCAATAGACTGATGAGAACATCCTGAAGTCCTTCAGATCATTCTACAGATAGAGATCATAGCAACACTGTTATTTATATTTTGGCAATTAATGTTTTCTTTGAGAATCCCCTGCCCCTGGAACAAACCATATTTTTAAGCACTTCTCCTTAAACGTAAGGAGACAGGCCTTGAATATCAACAAGTTTTTCTAAGAGAAGGAATGCCTTTAAAGACATTTACTCTCACGCTCCTTCACCACTAGAATTTCCTTACATACCCAAGGGAAGTTATGGCCTATGTTTGAGAACTGATAAATATTTCATTTTATATAGGTGCATACAAACTTCAGTTGCTGTTTGGAGCATTTGTAAAACAGTTTTTTAAAAACAAATTCTACATACCTCACAATTACAAGATTCAAGATAAAAAAAAATTTTGGAATTAAAAATCATTTTAAGACATTTCATCTTATGTCATTATTTTAAGGCAACCTTTTCAACTATTCTTTTGACTCCTTGTATTGTGTGCTACTCTGTCTTCATACAAATCTATTAGTTTCATGAATTGGAAAGGAACAAAATCGTAGAAAATGTTTTCATTGCAGGAAATTGATTTTACTCACATGTCTAACATTGACTAAGAGGTTCTCAAAAAGCAAGGCAAGTTCTCTGCCTGGCTAACAGCAAAAACAAGGCTGTCTGTCCATTAAAGGTTTTGCTTAAATTATCTACTTTGCTTTTATTCATTTAAATGGCATAACTGTATGATAATTTGAAAGTATTCATGAAATCAATTTTCTCTTGACTTTTCCAAGTCATTCTTATAATACACACACTAGTTTGAAGCCACAGTTTCTGCCAGGGACAGCATCCCTAAAGCAGAGTTCCACTCAAAATGCACTCTTCTTTGGAGAAGGGATGGGGATGATGAGCATTATCAAATCACTCCCCCATTTCAGAGGAGAAAAAGAGGAAGTTTGCTCTGGGAGTTGGAGGACTCTCTGGAGCAATGGGAGAATGGCTGAAGAATGTTACTGGAAATTAGCAAAGACTGCCACACCTCTATTCCACTAGTGGGATTCTTCTGTAGGATCAGGAATTTCCTGTAGGCCAAAGGAGTCTAGCTGTCCATAGAAAGGCCATTCTGGATGCAACCACTGCTTGACCAAGGAGAGCACTTGGCACTGTTTGCAACTGCAGTATCAATCCCAAAACTTTTTCCATAGTGGCAATTTAAATCTATATTTTACATTTGTGATTAATATATTGCTTGATTAACCATACTGACTCATGCTTTTCAGCCTTGCTTGGTATTTTTACAACATGAAAGTAAGCAATACTTGACTAAAACTGACAGCAAAAAGTTTGTCGTAATGCGATTTTGTCGTTAAACGGGGCGCTCTTCTTGTGAGGCACCACTGTACAGCAGTAGTTGTTTAAATGCCCCTCAGTAATCATGACTTGTAATATATGAAAACTGTCTGGACTCAGAATGGACTTGCAAGATAAAAGTAACTAAAGAGTATTATGAAATAAGAATATATGGGTTCTTAAGAAGTGAAAAAAGTCACCTGCTGTATTGCTCAATCGAACTTGAAGAGCAGATAAAGGAATCAACCAACGGAATTTAAATGAATCCAGATCACCTTGATTGAGTGTCGTTCGGACATTAGTTGCCTAAAAGAAAAGATTCAATGTTAAGTGCCATTACCTTTTAAAATGTAGTCTAAAGTTTCAGTCCTAGAACAGAATTGTTTCAAAGTAGGACTCACTGGAATCAACTATACTTCTAAATAAACTGGTTCAATTCAGAGATCTTATGGAGTTCCAGGGCACCCACCCACCCTGGAAAGAAAAAGTAGATTTCTGATGGTTCTGAAAATCTCCTTTGACAATGTGGGAATTTCCACATATAACATGCAGGAAAAATTGCCTCTGCTCTTTGCAAGTCTCTGTTGGATTGCTGCTTGTACCTTGAATAATGAAGTCCCTCATTTTATGGAAAAGCTACACTTAGAGAATACTCACTGAGATCAGTGGGGCAAATTAATAATGCTTTGGGTAGGTCAACTGAAATCAATAGGATTTCAGACACAGCTAAGTATGAGTCTAACCCAATGTGTTGAATAACATATTACAGCTTACTGGAGGACTTAAAATACTTAAAAGCCATTGTGTTTTTGCAGTCACAGAGAGGCAGTTCTGATATGCTGTTTTCAGCTTGATGAGGCCCATGTTGTACAGCCTTCAGTTCCAGGAATATCAGACTCTTGACAAGGGAGAACTCAGGTTTTTTTTCATAGATCATATTTGACATTCTGTATAGAAATTTGCCTCTTGTAATAGCAACTAATTGGTGCCGTAAGTTTTAAAGCAGATGCTACTTCTTGATGACAGAGTTGATCTGGTTGGTCTATAATTTTTGCTTGTCTAAACTGCTTCTTTTGTTGATACAAATATTAAATCCTCAACATGAAAAAGTTGTCAAAATAACTAAACCACATAAAGTTAGAGTTCCTTCTCTGTCTTCTCCATATTGGAATATTGGCATTATTATCTATCATGAACATAAGCTCCCTGCGATATATGGAGGAGACATTTTCACCATAACCACCAGGGCCACAAAGCCTGCTTGGCTCATACATCATGTGATTTAATGTTCAGCAATGTGTGGGGTTATTTCAGATAAATTTAAAACACGCATAACCTTGGGATTCTAAGGAAATATATAAAATTATCTGCCTCATTTAGCAGGGAGTTCTTTTAACCTATTCTTGTTGTTTAGTCGTAAGTCTTGTCCAACTCTTCATGACCCCATGGACCAGAGCACGTCAGGCCCTCCTGTCTTCCACTGCCTCCCGGAGTTGGGTCAAATTTAACCTATTTCTACTTAGGAAAAGGTTCTCTGAACAACTTGCCTAACATCCACACAATATATGTTCCGTATATACAAGAAACAGACAAGTTAGCATCAATTTTTAATCTCAAAACTTACCAACTTCTTTTTGAGTTTGCAGTTCTCTTTATACACTAATATGACAGCTCTTTTGAACACTAGGAAGAAGAAAATTGACTTACTATTTTTCCAAATATAGGAAATGTTATTGTGTGAAGCAGATAAAGGAGATAAATTTATTGGCATTTCTAAAAACAACACAAGAGGACATCACATGCATTCTCCTCCTGCTATCTGAGTACCAGGGGGTGTTATATCCCTCTGGTTGTCCTGTGCTTCCTAATGCTACTTTTGTGCAATGCTAAGTTCCATCCATTTTTATTTAAGATGCAAGTGATAGGTATACTTGTGCACATTATTTATTGAGTTAAACCTCCAGATCACTGTATGTATGTATGCATATATGTATTTGCATTTATGATAAAAATACAAAAACGTGCTGTAGAATAATGACATGCAAAAATGAAATGAAATAAGGTACAGTGGTGCCTCACATTACGATGTTAATTCGTTCCAGCGAAAAAACTGTAGAACGAAAACGTAATGTGAAATAAAAAAGCCCACAGAAACGCATTAAAACCCGATTAATGCATTCCTATGGGCTTGAAATTCACCGTCCAGCGAAGTTCCTCCATAGTGCGGCCATCTTCGCTGCCCGTGCAGTGAGGAATCCATCCCAGAAAAGAGCGGGGAGCCATTTTTTAACCCGGTGGCCATTTTGAAACCACCAATCAGCTGGCCGAAAATCGTCCTTTTGCGAGAATCGGTTCCCGAAGCAGGGAACCAATCATCTCAAAGCGAAATTCCCCCATTGAAACCATCGTAAAGCGATCGCTTTTGCAATCTCAAAAAGTTCGCCGTAATGCGATTTCGTTGTTAAACGGGGCACTCGTGAGGCACCACTGTACAGCAGTAGTTGTTTAAATGCCCCTCAGTAATCATGACTTGTAATATATGAAAACTGTCTGGACTCAGAATGGACATCTACACCCTTGTGTATATTTTTGAATGGTAGTTTTCTCATAATCTCTCACTGTTGGCTATGCTGCCTAGGCCTGAAGGGAGTTGTATGCCAAAGGTATCTGTGGAACCAGAGTTGCTGCTCACAGTGGTCTAATAATTCCTTAGAAGAACATGATATGCATGTACACAGGTTTCAGACTATAGTTCCAAGCAACATCACATCACAATTTTACAAATATAATGAAACATTATCACTGTCTCAGAGTGATTGCATAGAAAAGCTTCCATGTGGCATTGGTTCCATGTAGAGCCATAACTGTTGCAAACTGCTTGCCACGTGTGTACACAGCTGCATTAAAGCACCCATACAATCACTTTGCCAATGTTACAATATATACAGTATGCAACCAGTCAACCCCACTAACACATTCCACAAAAAATTCCCTATGAAAACTGCAATATGAGCCTACTCAGAAATTGATCTTGTTTTTAAATAAATAAGAAGGCTCTAGTTTCAGTGACTCTTGAGAAAAGTTTAAAAGTTGGAGAGCTGGTACTGAGCAGAAACAGGAGAAGGAAATTAGAAGATAATTGGAGAGTAGCATTGTCTTATTCAGCCACAGTCTATTCCTAGCCTCATTCTGGACCATGTCCTCAAGCAGTGTCTTCCCCCAAGTGCTTTACCCGACATCTCCACTCTTTTGCCTGAACCAGTGATAAACGGAGCCAACCAATATGGCATTTTCCAAGCATAAAAAGGAGCCATCAGCAAGCTCCAGAAAGAGGTGCCTAATGTCCAGAATCCAGTAGCAATTTACTCTTGTGCAAGAGAAATCATGTAAATCTTGGCAGCAAATTGTCACTCATCCATGAGGTCCTGCCTGCATTCCTAGGCATTTTTTTCTAGTTTCTATTAGTAAGTACACATTTTAACTCCTGTCTATCACTGCATGTTGCTCACAGAACATTAAGGTGCAACAGATCAGATACCATCTTACACATAAAACAACTTAACCACAGCATGACTGTTTACTTTAAAATGGAAGTGTAGACCACTCACCAAATACTGTGAGCTCTAAGTCTCTTCTTGTTTTGCCTAAAGAGGGGAATGGGTTCAGCCATAAAACAGTGGAGTACAAAAGAAGCTCTCCCATGGAAAGTTCTGTGACCTGTGTCCATTGTGAATGAGAAAGGGTATTAATTTGAACAGTATTTTTAATGAAAGACAATTGAATCAACAGAAAGCAATGTCACCATAAATCAATTGCAAAATTGTTATTTATTTCAAGAGAGGTAGATCAAAAGGGATAATGCCTGTAACTACAGTTTCTTCCCTCAGTTGAGAATGTTTGCAAATATAAACTTAGGAAAAGCTACCTTTTTCAGTCTTTCTTAGTTGATTGTTGGTTTCCTGCCCTCTAGATGCTTCTGGTCTTGGTTAAAAGGCAGCATACTTGCTCAGCGGCAGCAACCTCTTGCATGCTTTCACTAGCCACGCAACCCTATGCCTGCCTACCTGGAAATTAACTCCACTTAGTCCAGTGAGCCGCAGCCCCCTTCAGTCATTCTGTGATGCAGAGGCATCAACACAAAAGGAGCAGAGTGGCTAACCCATCTGCTCCTTCATGACATTGTCTACTGAAGCAGAGACATGTTTCAAAAGCAAAGGTTTCCTATTTTCCAAAGTAGAGGCTGCACAAGAACAAGAATCCTTTCTCTTTAGAGTCATGGTTGCTTAATGTGAGCAAAGCCATTCTCCTCTAAATATGTGACCATGGATTACAAAAGGACTGAGTAAGGTTTTATTTACAGATAAACATCAGTAGGGCGATGTTTGAAAGGCATCTTGCATTTAGAACAATTGGTAAGATGACCTATACTTGGGAATACTAGCTATCTCTCCTGCATGTTTTAAAAAATGTTTGCATGATGTAGATTACAAAATACAGAAAGCAACACAATTTTTAAAAAGAGTGACAAAACCTAGTTATTTATTACATAAAACACCTAAACTGCTTCAATAAGTCACTGGTATTTTCCATCCACCCCTAGGCCATGGCTGAAGATTCTTATAGCTGTCTACTCTCCGCACTGTAGTCTGTTGTTATACAAGTAATTTTCAGGTTTCTGGTTTTACTGGGATTATAGCTAAGTGAATTAATGCACAAACGAAATACCTAAATCCTCTCACCTCTTTCTCAGTCCCACTCTGATCTGCGACTAGCTGGTCAAACACTGCCCCATAATCCTCATAAATCTTCTGCATTTCATTGATGTGACTGGCCACCTTTTCCATTGCCTTCAGTGCTTCTACAGTTTTGAAGAAAAGTCCATAATTTAATAGATAGTTAAGCAGATCAGTTAAAATGCGTGCACTTGATTTCTTTAAAAGCTACATTTTCCAGAGGAGCAGCTATGATAGTTTGTTCTCCATAAAAAAAACCCCAAGAAATTTGTATTACCATAAAGATTAAAAAAAATAAATAAAAGCAGTGTATGTTTTTGTGGACTAAAGCCTGCTTCATCAACACGTAAAGTGTTACTCTGGTCTCTGCATTGCTGGGGTGGGGGACTAAATAATACAGAAAAAAGTAGAAAAAGATCATTATTAAGATTTAGTGCAGTTTGTTGAGTATGGAAAACACAGCAAGTTTCCAATATATCAAAAGTTGAAGGCAGACCTTTGGTCTAAGGCAGGGGTCTCCAAAGTTTTCAGTGTGGGCCACATCATATATTTTACACATTTTTGAGGGCTGAAGGAGGGAAGGAGGACCTAAGCAACCCCCGCCCCTGCTGTCTTTACAAAGATCACACATGCTGATCTTAGATCATGCTATGCCCAAGCAGAGATAGGAAGAGGAGCGAAGCCTGACACAAGTGATGCCTTACCCCCACTGTCTTTGCAAAGACAGCAGAAGTGAGAGATCACTTGGGTCCCCCTCCCTCCTCTTCCTATTCCCAGGCCGGATAAAAAAGCAATGTGGCCCGTGGGCCATAGTTTGGAGACCCCTGTTATAAGGGAAAGGAGAGGGGTTGCTGCAAACCAAGCCTGGAGTGATACTAGGCTATAAGGGAAACGAGAGGGGTTGCAAACCAAGCCTGGAGTGATACTAGGCTTCTACTAACCGAAATATGCTGTGATGTTTGGGTTCAATGACTGAGTAATTTCTGCAATAAATTTCAAACTGCTCAATGCTAAACACATACATTGAACACAAGTGGCGCTCAAAGTTTTAAAAAGCATCTTAAATGGCAGCCAGAGTAAGAAGCCCCTTGGAAAATACCTGTGAGATGGTAATGCTCCTCACTTTCAGGGTCTGTCAGGGATACCAGCTCTTTCAGGAGCAGCGGGTATTTCAGCACTCTCTGAACTGGCTTGATGAGAAAGGACTCCAGTGTGGAAGAATGCTGCTTTGTTGGGTTGTGAGCATCCAGAAAGGCCTTGAAGGCTTTATCTGTCTTGGCTAAAAGGAAGAAAAATTTTAAAACTCTGAATGCTTTAATATTCCAAAATGAATGCCATGAACCTCATCCTTCCTATAAAATATTCAGTAGAACTGATCAGTGACATACAAATTACCAATAAAATCACACTGGTTTGGTTAAGTCGGTTGGGCTAAATCCAATTTTAGTTCCAACTACAGCAGACCTATTAAAAATAACTGAACAAATGTCCCATTTATTTCAATGAATCTGCTTAAATTGGGACTAAAATTGAATTTAGCCCATTCAAAATATTCAAAAATATTTCTGATAGGCTAGAGAAATTTTGCTGCATATTTAACTGGTGAGTTAACCTGAAAGTACCATGGCCAAAGTCTAAAGGGGAACTGCCCTGTCTTGCTTGGTAAAACCTATCAAAACTCTGTGCAGTAGTGCACAATACAACCCTGTACATTTCTTGTCATTCTTTTATACTACTCATCCTGGTAGAATTTACATTGGGTAGAGGGAAATTATCAAATTATAATGGCATCACCAGACTGTCATATTAGGATAATCATTGATATGCACCTGAGCTTTCACCTGAATCATTACTGCTACTGCTACTGGTGGTTTATTTATATACTGCCTTCCTTCCATCATGTAACTTGCCTTTCTAACATACAAGTTATTGCAGTGTGTACTTCAATCAAAACCACAAAATAAATATATAAAAATCAGCAGCAATGTTAAAAACATATTAATCACTAACTGAAAATATAAAAGCAACATCAACAATATACCCAGAGGCATACTAAAAATCTTCACTACAGCTATGCTTTGCCTTTAAACAAATTTTGCAGGAGAGCACAGGTCTTATTTCTTAAACCAAATTACACTTGCTGGGTGCCTTGCTTCAAAGCCAATACTGCAGGGTAAAGATGGGGTTGCCAGGGCAGCAATGAATTTAACAGTGATTGGGCAGGAAGTGTAGCCCAAGAGTTCAGGGAGGGCAATATATTTCTGAACTGCCCACCTCCAATTCAGCAGCGTCCTTCATCAGGAAGATCCTATAAAACTAAAACAACTTGTTCGAGTGTCTCTCAATGTCATCTGTCTGACCCACAATATCATCCCAGTCAAGGCTCCTCTGGGTGGCCACCCTGAGGGAGAGCCATTAATCCTCTACAACGGGTAGGGCCTTCTTTGCGGTGGCTCCAACTTTATGGAACCAGCTTCTGGAGGAGCTCTGCCTAGCCCCCTCCCTGTTGATATATAGGAGGTAATTAAAGACATTGCTTCAGCTAGGCTTTTCACACCAACCCCAACTGATCACCCTCCCCCCCTTTTTTTCCTTTTTCCTTCCTCTTCCCTCCCCTCCTTTCTTCCATCTTTTCTGGGATTAGTCGGTATCATCTGGTTTTTTAGGGTCATTGCTGCAGGTTTTAATATCTCTATTTTGATTTTTGTCTTCTATTTTATGGGTTGTAACCCACCCAGAGCAGTGTTTAATTAATTAATTAATTAAATAAATGGTATTTTCTTAAATCTCTTAGCATGAAAAACAATTGTGTATACCCCTGAAATCTGTCACATGCAGATATTACATCATCAAAACAATTACCTCTTTCAAGAACCTTCTGGACTTTGATGTGGTTTGCACAGAATCCACTGTACAGTTTAAAATGATCAGCATAGTAGAGGAAAGAGCCACCCAAAGAAAACAGCAGTTTCTGAAACAAAACAAAATCAGAAGAGCGCACGAGAAATAAGATGATTTTGTGGACACCTGCCTGGTTGTCAAGACAAAACTAGCATTATTCTTTACTTTGAAGATTTACCCATTCAAGTAGAACTTCTCAATAAAACTTTTGGAGTACGGAACAACAGTTAAAAACATGAAAAACAATCCAATGATACTACTTTTAAAAATAGATGAAAGTCTGCAGAAACATAACACCAGAATTCATGGGTTGTTTTTTTAATGTAGTAAGAAATTGTATGAAATTAATCACTGTTAACATCTTACTTCTTGTTTTGCCTCATCTTTCCTTCCATAGGTATTGCTGGCAAAAAAAGAGACTTTCTTAACTCTGGATGCAACCACTGCTACTTTATAGTTGCAAATATTATCTGTTCTGAAATTCACATATTTATGAAAATATACCTTGCCTTTCTATTTCAAAAGAATCTGAATATGCCTTAACAATAATTTAATGTATACAAAGTAAATATAAACACAGAACAGTAAACAGATAATAAACAGCTTTAAATGTACTGAACAAGTGTGCTGGAAAACAAGCAAGTGCTCTCTCTAAGACTACAGTACAGAATAATTTTACAGGTACGCAATCACTGACATCAAGTTTATATAGTCACAAGACAGAGGAGTGAGATATCTATCATAAAGTGATGAAAAAGTATATTATCCAGGAAGCAGTAATCTTCCTTACTGAGAACATTCTGTAGTAGAAAACAAGGTGTATCAGTTTGCTAAGACTTTGACACATTGACTTTTTTTCCATGACAGACAGCAATTATGACACATGCTAACTTAATACAAAATATTTTAGTGGTTTGGAAAAGCATCCTCAGAAAACTACAGTTCCCAAGATTTTTCAGAACTATAGAATCTTAACAATGAATTTCTGTGAATAGCATGACTACTCACTCAGTTTAAACTCTTTGGGTTCAGAATTCACTGGGCTCATATGCCTTAAAAGCAGTGAAATTCAGAGAGGTAGACTTTGGCTTCCTCGGCCCTCCTCTTGCACTGACTTGTTATTCTCCAATTGCTACCCTTTTGAGGAGGAACATTAGGCAGAAAGAGACTTGGCCCACTGACTGCCTCCAGACACATGAAGACACATTTAAAAGTTGTTTTCAGTGGAGCTTTCACTGTAACTTAAAAACAGTTCATAGTGCTTCTAGGTGTTACATCTGATAGCAAATGGAATCTGTTCAGAAAGCATTGGAACAGGTAAGGGGCATCTCAAAACATGCCCAAGAGTTAATGAGGAGGAGACAGTACTATAATGGGTGAGGGCCAGTAGACTGACTCCAGAGACTTTGGTTCAAATCCCCACTGAGCAATGGAAACACAAGGTGGGTGTGTATGTGGCATAGGTAAAGCCACTCAAGTATATTTTACATCTTAGAAATCTTACTATGGATGCTATAAATCAGATTCAACTTGAAGGCCCAGAAAACATTGAATTACGCAGGCAAAATATAGGCAAATTCCTAAAATTTGAAAGAAATCATCCATGAAAAAGCTGCTCTGAAATTGATTCCTCCACCTGTGGCACACATCTAAATCTGGATTCACGCCAGAATTTCAGATAACTTAGTCAAAGCCCAAAAAGCTTCCATTTTGGGTGCTTAAGTTTTTTGTATAAATAAAAAGCTTCTAGTCAGGGAAAGATGAACGATGGAGAAAGGGAAGCAAAGAGAACAGACATATCAAAATATGGTATTTGGGTATCCAAAGAATTTGATATTTTGCATTTACCCGAAATTGTGAAGGGGTTTCAAGCATGTTAAAATCAGAACAGGAGGAAATGCCATCTTCAAGGGTTTCTAGAAAAACTTTTTGAAAATCCAACATCTCTGGCAGACTGCCAAACAATGATTCCATCTATAAAAGGGAGAATAAAAATAAAATTAGAATAATGCAAGTTCTTTGTATTTCGCAGTAATGCAAATTAAGAGAATGCAATCCATCAATATGTTGCTAATGATATTTTTGTTTCCAGCAGTAATGAACTTGCCATATAATAAATTTGGCATTCAGTGCAGAAGAGGACAGGATTTCTGAAACAAAGATTTCTGATAAACCTCTTTGTCAGAAATACAGGCAACTGAGACATGACTCAGACATAAAAACACAGTGTGCCTTTTTTCATGTCTGATGTGATAAATAAGTAGATTTTTTTTATTCTGACCCAAGACTAGCACAAAAATACAATAGCTGAAATCCTGTGGCACAGTTGCACAAATGACATAACTTTTAGAAGTGAATTGCTGTAAAGTAACAAATCTGTGTAGACATTAACTGTTGCACACTGGCTTGGCATGCAACAGCTAATGCCTACGGACATTTCACAACATACCACAATTTGCCTCTACCTTGCAATATGGCTTTGAAGCAATACATGCAGTGAATACAATTTGGCCACGCCATCTGAGTAACTGTGCAACAGGATTTCAGCCATTATGTTTCAATACATGGAAATTCCTTTAACATCAATAAGACTGGAAAAGCAATTAAAACCACAATAACCAAAATAACTACAATATTTCCTTACCTCATCTTGAGTGAGGAAGGTCTCATTCTGAAGAGGCTCCAAGTATAACTGAAAGAGGCAGCTCAAATCCTGTAAATAGCATGAAAAATTACCGTACATGACTTTACACAAATCTGACATAAGGTTTGGCAAATTTTGCTTGGGACTAAGAGTATGGATGGATCCAAGTCATGAGAAATAGTTTTCAATCAGAACCACATCTTTATTTTCCTTGTGTCATTTGTCTTGACATCAGCATTGCCACCATGAAGGATAGCAAAGACGTTGCTAAAGTTTGATAGCACAGAGAGGTCACCTATCTATTCATCTAGCTATCCAGTTGTGCGTGTAATCTGCCTGAAGACGTGCGCTCTCTCTCTCTCTCTCTCTCAGTCACCTATCTATTCATCTAGCTATCCAATTGTGCGTGTAATCTGCCTGAAGACGTGTTCTCTTTCTCTCTCTCTCTCTCTCTCTCTCTCTCTCTCTCTCTGTGTATGTTCACATAGAGAGAGAGCACCATTCTAAGCTCTCTCTCTCTCTCTGTGTGTGTGTATTTATGTTCACATAGAGAGAGAGCACCATTCTAAGACAAGGTTGAACTTTGTCTTTTCTTTTTAAATATCAATGGCTACATATCCTCACGGGAAATCTTTGGGAGATTGCATGTCAGGAGAAGGCAGGGCCTAATTTCATAGTGGGCAGAAAGATAAACCATTTCCTTTCTTCAACCACCTCTCCACCCAATCTTTTTCTCCTCCTCCCTCCTCCACACCCCTACTGACCATTACAAGGGAAATCAGGGGAAAAAAAACCCTATCAAGCCTTATTATAACATTTGTGGTCTGTGTGTGTGATTTTCAACATCACAGTGTGGAGGGAAGAGGTGGTTACCACTCCTCTTTCCCCCTAACATCCTTCCCTAAAGACCTTTCCTGGCAGATACTTGGCCTAGAGCATCAACTCTCATTCATACTTTTTTCCAAGCATAATTGCTTTATAAGTAGAGTTCAAGTGGTGAGATTGGATCTGAAGACAATATGAGCCATATCTTGTCTGTGGTCCAACAGTTGCAATTAAAACACAATGAGGGAAAAAAAAAACTGCATGGGAAAGTCCCTTTACCTTTACATAGGATTTCTCTGTGTCCATAAGCTCTTGGATGACCTTCCGAAGCCTGTCAGCATCTGTAAGCTGCCTTGCCAGTGGCTTTATAAAAGGGATATCCTTTACTTCTTCCATACCATCTACCTGAGTGTCATGGAATTGTGGACACAATGCTGAAATCTGTTCAGCACTCTGTAGATTGAAAACAGCAGAGACAGAATATTGGTGTTTTAGCCAAAATAAGAGTTTAGAAGCAGAGACACAATATGTAATATGTTTTGGTTACATATGAATATTTGAGTGCTGTTTCCCACCCACCACCTCCCCGTGCACACATTTCAGAATCTGTTTCTGTGAGTGCACACTTGTGTGCAGAGATTTGGTGTAAACAGGACTATAGTTTATGTCTTTAAACCAGGAATGCAGGGCCAGTGGCTCTCCAAATGGTGCTGGACTCAAATGACTACCAGTCCCCATCAGCATTGTTAGCATGGATGGAAGTTAGTTCAAAAATCTTCCTGTGGCCTTAGGTTCCGTCTGGTTCTCCAGATGTTGATAGACTGTAATTCCCCCCATTCTTATGCAGCATCAACAGTGAGGAACAACGATGTGAGATACAATTCTAAATAAGCCCTGGAAGGACATCATATATTGCTGATCCCTGAGCTTGTTAGTTAACAAATTAATTGAGACACACACAAAACCAAATACACATCTACACCATGAACCTGAGGTGGGCTGCTTGGCACCCTTCAGATGTTCTGCATATTCTCCCATAATCCCCAACCTCTGGCCATACTGGAAGTTATGGTCATTGTAGACAAAAATATCCATAAAGTAGCATACAGACTACCCCTGCCCCTTAGACAGCAATTTCTAAAGCCATTCTAAAACCTTTAAATACTGTCTATTGTAAAAGATCTGAAAGATATCTGGTTTTATTTAGTGATTCAGATGTGCATTTTGAGAACATAAGGAATAAAAAGGATTTTTCAAAGGGTTTAGACCTAGAGATATTTTTCTTCTTCTCCTTGGTTCCAGACTTTAGTTTTAAGATCATAATTATGCAAGTATCAGAAAATACACAAGAGGTCTTAAAATCAACTCTTGAATTTTATCTATGGCACTATAACTACTAGGTTGTTTGCTAATAGACATTATTCAACTAGTTATCCAACAAAAAAGTATGAACAGAAACACAGAAATTTAATGTTAGAAGAAGAAAAAATGAATCCATCAATTTGGATGACAACCTTGCAGCATTACAAAGAACAATTTGCACACTTTTAAGTAGTTTTTCAGAGAAGAAAGCCTTCAGCCTCAACATGACCTATAAAACTGTAGCTCACTTTAAAGGAAGTCTGATAAAATAATAATTTAAAATGTTCAGAAAAACAGGGTCAGCCAAAGTTAATTCAGCCCCCGAACTAGACTTTATTCTTTTTAGAGAAAGCCAATTTAGTTCTTAATTACATCATGCTCAACCCAGACTTTGAAACAGCTTTTCCAGAATTGTTACTTTGAAGATATGTAGTGTGCTTTGCTCCTTAATTCTAGTTATTTCAGATGTAAGAGACCCACAGTAACAGAGCTGCAATCATATGAAGGTCACATACTTTTTTTAAAAAAAATATAGTGTATAAAATAACATTTGCAGTTCATGGATACATCATAAGTTTGTGACTTGAACAAAATGGAGAAAGTAGCAGAAAGCCTAATATGGTGGCCAGTATCCTCCCACAAAGCTCCTCTAGTGCAGTTGGTATGATGTCACTGACAGCATCCTCCCCCCCTCCACCAGCCAGCGTGCACTCCTCTCCTCCTCTTTAGCTGTTTGACTAATCTCCAGCAGGAGAACGGGCTTCCGTGCCCTGCCTCCTTGGCTGATTGCCCACTCAGACAAGGAGGTGGGACAAGAAAGCTCCTGCTCCTGCTAGGAAGGGGTCAAGCAGCCAAAGAGGAAGAGGAGAGGAGTGCATTCCGACTGGTGAGTGGGTCGTTGGATGGGGAGGCAGGGGAAGAAAACATGTGGCCTCTATGGTACCATGTGTACAAACCAGCATGAACCTCTGAATCAAGGTTGATGCCCATCTCTAATCAGGAGATAGGATTTTATGATGTCACAGAAGCAGGCTGGCAGGCAAGAGTTAGGGAGAGGACTGGAACTGCATTGGGGGTTAGCTGATTCCAGAAATGAGCACAAAACAATGTAATCCAAAAGGCACAAAGCGTGCACACCCTACTGGTTCAACTGCATGCCCTACTGGTTCTTCCTTCCAGTCTGCTACTCTCCTGGCTCTTTAGTGTTCAAAACACAACACCCATCCAAATGCATTCATGCTAAATCAGCAAACACTAAAGCCAGCCATGAATGGATGGAGATATGGGCCCATACTTTAAGCACTTCTCTTCTGATGCCCCTCCCCCTGAGGTGTGTCTCCCCACCTGGAGAAGCATAGCCATTCATTGAGACTGCAGCTGGTGCCCTGAGATCTGGAAACCCTCTTTACTAGCCTGTCTCAAGGACGGGACTGCAAACAGATTCTGTACATGGGAGATGCCACTTCCAGACATGAGGCTCCCTTTGCTGAAAATACTAATCTACGTAAGTCGGATGGAAACATGCATTTCCCGTCTGTATGCACTACAGCAGCTGTCACCAGCATGGGCCTTTTTTTGGAGTACGCAACATCTGTCCACAATTGACATCTCTCCCCCATTCTGAAAAAAAAATGGGGGAGGAGAAAAAGAGGATAGAAAACAGTTAAAATTGTTTATACACAGCTCTGCCTGCCTGTGTGCCTGGGTGTTTATCTCTATCTCTCTCTGTGTACAGATTGAAGCACGTTTCTCTCCCCCCACCCCACCCCCGATTTCCATGGTTCGATGCAGGAAATTAACTAATTACAATAAAGAGGAACAAAATGTTGCCAATATACTATGAAACAAGGAAGGCAGAATGTTTTGCTCAAACACCTTGCTAAATCTCCAGTTACAATCATGAACTCTCCAGTTCTCAGTCACCTCAGCCCAAGCCACCAATTGCAACACAGTGCAGGCTGTGTGGCACGAGATTGCTTGACAGAAAACTGTGCATGCAGAATTTTGCCTAAAGGCCAAATTACACATCTTCCTGGGTGTGTCCAGGTGTGTGCTCACACTAAATGTATCTACTTCAGTTTTTAAATACTAGCTACTATGGGAGGAGAGTGAAGCCCATGGTTCACAGGGCAGGCCATCCAGACTGGACTCAGTAGAGAGAGGAGGAGGGGGAAATTGTCAATCAGCACATATTTGCAGCTTGTTAAGGCAGTTTCTGCTGTAGCCGTCCATATCTGCAGCAGTCACTGGGACAGAGGCCGATGTCTCTACAGCAGAAGCTGCCTTAACAAGCTGTGAACATGTGCTGATTAGCAATTTCCTCCTATCTTTCCTTTTTAAAACATGGGTCTCCCAAGTGCTGTAGTGCAACTTTGTTGAAGTGCTGACATGAAGACTTTTTAAAAAAAGAAAGAAATGGTTTGGAGACAAAGGGTGTCAGTTGAGGAAAACTGACACCCTCACGTGCCCCTTTGCTTCCTCTCTCCCCACCCACTAAACACCAGTACCCTTGCACATCTACCACTGCATTTCTAAGTGAAGCAATCACATCATCTGAACAAATGCAAATGCATTTGCTGGGGGGAAAAGAGCCCTAGCAATGGAAGGAAAAGGTACAGATTAGAAAGGAAAAAGATTTACATTGACTTGTACATAATGCAGTCAAAGGAAAATAATGCCCATCTGACCATCCCAGTCAACCCCTTAGAGGGGACAAATGAATTTAGCTTTCTGCTCTAATGCTCCAAAGTTCTGTGCTTCCCAATTATGGGGTTCTGGGACTCCATACTGCAGGTGACATCCTCCATACTGCAGGTGACATCCATCCTTTCTCGTCATCAGTATCAGTCATGACTGCATCCTTCCCTCCTGTATCTTCCTGGATAGTCTTTCTGTTTCCTTTCTTTAATCACACTAAAGCCAAGTCTTCCCTTGGTTCCTGTCATTCCATTTTATCTCTGTACCCAGCACCGTTAATACAGATGATGAGGAAAAAGCAAAAAAGATGACGATAAATCACCAGTAAAGCAGACTGAATGTGTTTCTGTACTTTGTTGTTTATGCTTTGTTATCTTCCCATTTAAATGTCATTTGTATTACAAGGCCAGTGCAGCAAGGCTGGTAACATTTGTTGGAGAAAGGCAACAAAAAGAAGCAACGTTGTCTTAAAAACCAAATGAAAAAACCTTGCAGGAAGTGGGAGGGTAGGAGAAACAGTTGATATTTCAGATACCAGCATTTTGACAACAAATAACTGCACCTGTTAAACAATGTCAGCATTTAGTCCTCTATGTGTTATTTGAGGAGTCAGGAGGTTAACTTTTTGTGATAAAGGAAAGCACAATTTTATCATTGGTCACAAATAAACCTGAACAGACAGATACTGGTGGTGACAGAATATTTTTTTTTTTTTTTCCTAGTTCAATCCATGTCATCACACTTATCTGTCTGGGGCATTTTCCTGGAATGTAGCTGACTTGAGCTGTGTCCATATCCAACACACTTGTCACATTGCATTTTGATCATCCTTCACCATCCCCAGTATTCCATGCAGTTCCAACTGAATACATGTTTAAATTACCAACTTCTATGCTGCAGAATTTTTCCTAAAATAATTGTGTGCAGTTGCACCCAAAAGTCTCTTCCAATAAATTGGATGCAACAATACAAAGAGTATTTTCCCCTCACTGTTGTGCAAAGACTTGCCTGGGTTTAGCTACTTGCAGAGAGACTGCCAGATAGGACAATCTAAAGAAGGCAAAAAGGTGAAGGGTCAGTGACGTAACAACTGAATATAATCAGAATAAAACAAAAATAAAAGCAAAGGTATGGTGTTACCTTTAAGATAGGGAAATTTATTAAAATTTGAGTTTTTGTGGATTACAGTCTCCTCAGACATATGGGTGAAACATGGATTTCACTCCATGCATCTGAGGAAATCAACTGTAAACTAAAAGCTCAGCTGGTTACTCTTAAAGGTGCTGCAATACTTCCACTTTTATTTCTCTTCTATTTTTGTGATACATGTTAAAACACACCAGAATAGCTGTCTCTTTGAAAACTGTTGTAATAATTTTTTAAAAGGGGCTCTA